GCCTATAGGTACTATAACAGTGGTTCTCAACCTTCCTAATGCCGTGATTCCTTAATACAGTTCCTTATGTTGTGGTGACCCCCAATGATAAAATTATTTGTGTTGTTACTTCATAATTGTAATCTTACTCCAATTCAGAATCATAATGCAAATATCTGATGTGCAGGATGTAATTTCATTCACTGGACCAAATTCAGCACAAATATCCAATACGCCCAAATTTGGACACCGATGGGGTGGGGAGGGATTGATTTTGTCATCTGGGAGTTGTAGTTGATGGGATGTATAGTTCACCTACAATCAAAGAGCATTCTGAACTCCACCAATGATGGAATTGAAGCAAACTTGGCACACTGAGCTCCCATGACCAACAGAAAATACTGGAAGGGTTTGGTGGGCATTGACCCTGAGTTTTGGAGTTGTAGTTCACTTACATCCAGAGAGCACTGTGGACTCAAATAATGATGGATCTGGACCAAACTTGGCACGAATACACAATACACCCAAATGTGAGCACTGGTGGAGTTTGGGGAAAATAGACCTTGACATTTGGGAGTTGTAGTTGCTGAGATTGTATAGTTCACCACCAATGACCACCTGCTGCAATGCAACCTGAGCCCTGCCACATGCACAATGGAGGACCTTCTTGCAGCAACACCAGAAGCACTCCACATGGCCAGATACTGGTCAAAGGACATTTAATCAACTACCAAACTCACAAATATTGTATTTTGTCTGTTTGTTTGCTTTGTTCTGTTAGAAATGTAATATAATTTGACTGGTTGCCCTGACACGACAAACAAACAAACCACCAATGATAGAATTGGACCAAGCTTCCCACACAGAAGCCTCAAGACCAACAGAAAATATAGTGTTTTCTGATGGTCTCTGGCGACCCCTCTGACACCCCCTAGTGACCCCCCCCCAGGGGTCCCAGCCCCCAGGTTGAGAAACACTGTACTACAACCTTGACAGCTTGAAAGATCCTTCCAGACTTTTGAGGATTTAAAAACACACACACACATGAGAAGCGTGGAGGGGAATTGACACTGTTAGTGAATCACACTTTGCATTAGCAGCTTTCATTCAGACCAAGCAAATGATAAATCCAACGGCGGAGTGTCTCCAGAAAAGCACACAGCCGATGAGTCAAGGCACAACATAATGGCTCACTGTTGGCTTGCATTGACACAGAAGATACAAAACCTCCCGTGGCGGTCACGTCACACCGCCACCCTGTTCCCACAGAATGAGCATGAATTTGTGAATCGGCTGAAAGAAACTGTTTCTTTCCGGCGCAACAGCATTTGTTCACCACCAATCTGTGAGGAGGGAGGCTTGAGTTTTCTTTCTTTTTTTTTCCCATGACCCTGACTCAGCAACGAGATCAGTTAAGCACAGCCTTGTACCAGCTCGGCTCTCTGCAAAGCCTGGCCTTGGGCCAGATAAGAACGCCACCCTTCCTCCACTCCGGGCTCTCTTGACATTTCCTATAGGCATGGTGCATTTCGGTTCTGGTTACGTCAACCAACGTCTGCTTGAGTTCTGGAAGTATTCAATTCTCCCAAGAGATATTTCAGGCCTTTTTTAGTTGGAACTCTGGCTGCCAATGTGTTGTTGTTCATACTTTCGTTAAGCTTGGCATCCTCTCTGGCCCTGGTCAATGTCAGCTGTTCCCTCGGCTCAGCTTAAACGTTTTACATATTTCCTGCTAGGCAAGTGCAGGGAATGGAACTGAGCGCAGGATTGCCCTGCCTCAATCATTTTAGCTGTGTTTCCACTCCTTTGTCTGCTAAAACTGGTTAATATCCCATATTGTGGGTGCACAATCCTATAATGTCTATTCAGGAGAGTTCCACAGAACTATAGAATCATAGGGTTGGAAGAGACCTCATGGGTCATCCAGTCCAACCCCATTCTGCCAAGAAGCGGGAATTTTGCATTCAAAGAACCCCTGACAGATGGCCATCCAGCCTCTGTTTAAAAGCTTCCAAAGAAGGAGCCTCCACCACACTCCAGGGCACAGAGTTCCACTGCTGAACGGCTCTCACAGTCTGGAAGTTCTTCCTAATGTTCAGGTGGAATCTCCTTTCTTGTAGTTTAAAGCCATTGTTCCGCGTCCTAGTCTCCAAGGAAGCAGAAAACAAGCTTGCTCGCTTCTCCCTATGACTTCCCCCTCACATGGTCCTCATCATGTCTCCTCTCATCCTTCTCTTTTTCAGGCTAAACATGCCCAGCTCCTTAAGCCGCTCCTCATAGGGCTTGTTCTCCAGTCCCTTGATCATTTTAGTCGCCCTCCTCTGGACACATTCCAGCTTGTCAATATCTCTCTTGAATTGTGGTGCCCAGAATTGGACACAATATTCCAGGTGTGGTCTAACCAAAGTAGAATAGAGGGGTAGCATTACTTCCCTAGATCTAGACACTATGCTCCTATTGATGCAGGCCAAAATCCCATTGGCTTTTTTTGCTGCCACATCACATTGTTGGCTCATGTTTAACTTGTTGTCCACGGGTACTCCAGGATCTTTTTCACACATACTGCTCTCGAGCCAGGCATTGTCCCCCATTCTGTATCTTTGCATTTCATTTTTTTCTGCCTAAGTGGAGTATCTTGCATTTGTCACTGTTGAACTTCATTTTGTTAGTTTTGGCCCATCTCTCTAATCAGTCAAGATCCTTTTGAATTCCTTAAGATCATCTGGGGAGGCCCTGCTGTCCTTACTGCCTTCATCACAAGTATGTTTGACTTTTTCAGGGCAAATATTGTATGGTAGCCTCAACCATTAAAAAAAAACAGATTACTTCTGAATTCCAACCCAACATAAACCGAGCTACAATAGTTTCTTAGCGCCAACTGAGATCCTCGCCTTTTTCAGTGGCCTTGCTCCAGAATACCTTCCAATGGTAGGGAATGCAATTCACGCGGTCTGTTTATGATCACTACAAGCAAACCACTACACTTGCTGTCCATTTCCCAAGTAAGGAAACAAATGGGAAGAATATTTATTCTGCAGCTGAAGTTGTTCAGTTTCTTTGGGCAAGCTGGTTTTCTTCTGGGTAATCATGTTAGATGGTGTAGAGGCCAGAGAAGAATGATTTCTCCAAGAATATTACATTTCTAAAGATCCCAACATCCCACCAAGTCAGAATCTTTGCTGGCTCTGTAGACTGGCTGTGCAATTCAATCAAGATGATGTTCTTCCAGTTGCCAAATTTTTGGTGTTCTTCCCAATTTGATCTAGAGCAGTGTTTCTCAACCTGGGGGTCGGGACACTTGTGGGGGGGTTGTAAGGAGGTGTCATAGTGTTCATCAAAGACTATCAGAAAGCACAGTATTTTCTGTTGGTCATGGGGGTTCTGTGTGGGAAGTTTGGCCCAATTCTATCGTTGGTGGGGTTCAGAATGCTATTTGATTGTAGGTGAACTATAAATCCCAGCAACTACAACTCCCAAATGTCAAGGTCTATTTTCCCCAAACTCCACCAGTGTCCAGTTTTGCGCATATCAAGTATTCATGCCAAGTTTGGTCCAGATCCATAACTGTTTGAGTCCACAGTGCTCTCTGGGTGTAGGCGAACCACAACTTCAAAACTCAAGGTCATTGCCCACCAAACCCTTCCAGTATTTTCTGTTAGTCATGGGAGTTCTGTGTGCCAAGTTCAATTCCATCATTGCTACTTCATAACTGTAATTTTGCTACTGTTAGGAATCCTAATGTAAATACATTGAAATAACACTGTTTAGCCAGTATTGCACAACCTGACATCTGCCAAGAAGTAGCAGCCAATTGTAGAAGGACCAAGGCAGTGACATCTCCAGCTCATCCCTTGTTTGGGTGTCAGCCAGCACGTCAACGACTTAAATCAAGAAATAGTTTTCTAAGATCTACAGAGACACTCGCTGGAACACCTCAGCAAGCGAAAATCCAAAAGTGGCAGGCTCAAACCCAGAACCTCAACCAATGGCTGATACCAAATGAGAGACTCCCTCCTGGGCACACAGAAAACTGGGCGACTTGGAAGGCGCTGAACAGACTGTGCTCTGGCACCACAAGATGCAGAGCCAACCTCAAGAAATTGAGCTACAAAATGGAATCCACGACATGCGAGTGTGGCAAAGAGCAAACTACAGACCACCTGCTGCAATGCAACCTGAGCCCTGCCACATGCACAATGGAGGACCTTCTTGCAGCAACATCGTATGCACTCCAAGTGGCCAGATACTGGTCAAAGGACATTTAATCAACTACCAAGCTTGCAAATTTTGTGCTTTGTCTGTCTGTTTGTTTGTTTGTTTGTTTTGTTCTGTTAGAAATGTAATACAATTGTCTGATTGCCCCTGACACGATAAATAAATAAATTCCATCATTGTTGGAGTTTGGTTCAATTCCATTGTTGGCGGAGTTCAGAATGCTCTTTGATTGTAGGTTAACTAGAAATCCCAGCAACTACAACTCCAAAATGACAAAATCACACCACCACCACCCCAACCCCACTAGTGGTCAAATTTGGGCATATCGGGTATTTGTGCCAAATTTGGTCCAGTGAATGAAAATACATCCTGCATATCAGATATTTACATTAGGATTCCTAACAGTAGCAAAATTACAGTTATAAAGTAGCAACAAAAATAGTGTTATGGCTGGGAGTCAACATAACATGAGGGACTGTATTAAGGGGTCGCGGCGCTCGGAAGGTTGAGAACCACTGATCTAGAGGCCTCTTGCCCATATCCTCCAGATGTACACTCCTGCTTCTCTCTTAAGCAGCATGGTTATAAAGAACTGTTTTAAAGAAACCCAAGCAGCATTGTGAAATGTTAGCTATACTATCCTCTGAGTAACTTTGCCCATGTGACAGCTGTATCTATACGATTACAGGCAGTCTGAAACATGGGTTTAAGGCCTCATTGGTTTGTAATCTACGTTTTCCACTTCATAAGTGTAAAAAGTTTCTGGTTGCCTCTCTTCTGATCATAAAAGAAAGCAAGAACCCAAGTTTACGTGGAAGTCAGTTTATTTTCCTAGGACAAACTCATTTTGTAACAAAAAAGTATGGAAGAAGGTGATCCCTCTTCATTGTTCCACATTCCACACACTCCCACCCCAAGCCCTCACCCACCCCCAGACGGCTGGCAATTCAAACATCATAGTTGGGATTTTTGCGCAGGATAACAAAACCTTCCAAAATGGGTGTGACAGGTATGTGCTCTTCTGTGGCCAGCTCCGCTCGCTCACCGTGGGCCAGCAGCACTGGTGTTGTGTGCGTCTGGAAGCCGGTGATAGTCTTTGGCTTGCCAGCCTGGCCCACCACATCTACCGCCTGAGAAGAAAGCCAGGAGTCAGTCACGGAAACAGCCTTGCTCCCTTTCTCTCCCCTGTCCCTTGCACACACTTACCTCAAGGTCAAGGCTTTCTTATCCCCATCTGAGCTAGGTAAACTAAGAATTATGTTGCCGTTCTTTTATCTATGCCACACATTGGCACTTTAATCTATCTCACCTATCAGATCAAATGCCATTTTAAATATACATAATGGTCTGTTGACAAAATGAGGCCTTTAGGCTTTCTGTAGCCCATGCAGTAATTTTTGCAGTGCTGCACTTCTGCCTTCAAAGAAATGGGCCTACAAATGGCCAGTTGCATTCCTAGATGCTTTCAGGGAGCACATGGGATTATCTGAGCTCCTTTTGGAGGCCCCAGCCATGGATATTGTTCCAGGCTGGAAACTATTTTTCAGAATCTAAAATGGCAAGGATAGCCCTCACCATAGAAGGTTATCCATCTCAGTCTGAGTCTCCAGGTAAAGCAAGAAATAGTACAGCTTTGAACCACTATCCGCAGTCAGGACTATGGATACTAGGCCATAAACCTCTAAAAACACTAGATCCCAGCATTCACAAGATCTCCTGAGTCAAGCAGGGCCCCTTCCCCATAGTACCGGTGCTATTCCGAGTCCACTTACCTGACCCACTCTCACAGACACAGGAAGGGGGCGCAGCTCCTCGTCAAAGGTCACTAGCATACGCGGCTGCATGGCAGCCACAAGACCGTAAAGCACATAGTGGGACTTCCCCAGGATTACTAGGAGAGAAAAGAGGGTAACAGAGTCTCTGTTGAATTCCATCTTGTCATTTTCAACTGCTGTTCCAGTCTGACTACATTCTGTTGAAGCTTGGTCCTTCTATAATGTAGCTATTCCTATTAATGTTTTGCCATCTGTAGACATAAGAGCAAGGTCTCTATTATCAAGTCCCGTAGCTACATGAGATTTCCTTTCAGGAGGATGCTGAGCCCTTACTATCAGCCTAGAAAGTCTAGATCAATTGGCAGGTGCTCTTGCCTAGTTAAGGATACAGAAGCCCCAGGACAGGCGAATTAGGGTTATAAAAAAAAGAAAAATAGAAAGGAAAAGAGACAGCATGGTATAGTGATCCGAGCACTGGACAGCTGCTCTGGAAACCAGAATGAGAATCTCGCTCAGCCAGGACCGGACTGTGGTGCAGATGTTTAGTAGCCAGCTGCATTAAATCACTACAGACCAAGAGGTCATGAGTTCGAAACCAGCCCAGGTGGGAGTGAGCTCCTGACCGTTAATAGTCTAGCTTGCTGTTGATCTAGATTGTTGCTGATCTATGAGAATCCCGCTCAGCCAGGACCAGGCTGTGGTGCAGCTGGTTAGTAGCCAGCTGCATTAAATCACTACTGACTTGAGAGGTTATGAGTTTGAAGCCAGCCTGGGTCAGAGTGAGCTCCTGACCATTGATAGTCTAGCTTGCTGTTGATCTATGCAGCCTCAAAGACAATTGCAACCATCAAGTAGGAAATTAAGGTACCGCTTTATGCAGGGAGACTAATTTAATAATAATAATAATAATAATAATAATAATAATAATAATAATAATAATCCTTTATTTGTACCCCGCTACCATCTCCTGCAGGACTCAGTGCGGCTTACAAGAGGCCGAGCCCAAAGTACATCATTAGCAAAAACACAACAACAATACAATGCGAAAATAAATAACTCATAACAAAACAGAACATTAACAAAACACAACATTATTAAAAACCTGTGGMAGGGCCAAATKTAATGGTTAAAATTCTAAAAATGCTGGGCATGTCCAGGTGAGRTAGGATGAAATAAAAGGGTGTGAAGACAATTCTAACTCTATTTAACTAATTTATGACACCATAAAACCTTCCAGCAGTGTCTGTAAGAATGAGGAAGTACTCCATCAAGGACTTGGTGTCACAAGTGGACGGTGAAGCGGCAGCTCCCCMTGTGGCCAGAATCGAGCATACCCTCATGAAGCCAGAAAGCAGGAATGTTAAATTGCCTCTGTGTCTGTCTATATATGTTGTATGTCTAATGCCACTGAATGTTTGCCATGTATATGTGCATTGTAATCTGTCCTGAGTCTCCTGCGGGRTGAGAAGGTCAGAACATAAATACTGTAAATAAATAATAAAACAAATACATTCTACTCCATGACCTTCGGCAAATTAGTCTTAGAGAAAGAAAAAAAAACCCTCTGAACAAATCTTCTGAACAAAGCCCTCTGAACAAAGCCAAGAAAACACTGCAATGGGTTCATCTTAGGGTCACTTTAAATCAAATAATTGAGGGAACATAAACTGATCAACAACAACATACATTCTGTACCAAGAGAAAGGCAGAAAAAATGAACTATTGCACCTCTTGACTGAACCATCATTTTAAGAACATACTAATATACACTTGAACTATCCCTGACTCACACTATCAAGGGCCTCTCTACTCACTTCAAACAGATATATGGAATACAAAACAAAATGGTTTACTATTAACCCTTTCTCAGTAAGAGTCACAAAAATGAGATGCTCCTTTCCTAGGTATATTTCTTGCGTTTTTCCAAGTGGGATTTTAAATGTGCAATTTTTATTCTCAATTTTCCCAAGGAGTGTGCATTTCCCATAGGTAAAGGGAAAGGTTTCCCCTGACATTAAGTCTAGTCGAGTCCGACTCTGGAGAGTGGTGCTCACCTTGATTTCTAAGCCGAAGAGCTGGCGTTGAGCCTGACTGCATGGAGCATCATTACCTTCCCGCAGAAGCGGTACCAATTGATCTACTCATATTTGCATGTTTTTGAACTGCTAGGTTGGTAGAAGCTGGGCCTAACAGCAGGAGCTCACTCTGCTCCCTGGATTCAAACCTTCAACCTTTCGGTCAGCAAGTTCAGCAGCTCAGCGGTTTAATCCACTGTGCCACTAGGGGACCCTGTATTTCCCATAGCTAAGCATAAAATATAAAGCAACATCTGGCTCCAGGAGTGTAGGCCCAGACACACATAAAAGAACTCCCATTCTGCGTCAGACTGCTGCCCGTCTGCATCCCATATTTGGTAAAGGTCAGCCCTGAGCACTACAAAATCTCAGGCAGAGGGACTGCATCTTGGTAAGAAGGATATTATGAGGAGGGGAAGCATGGACTGATACTTGGGACCCTGTAAGTTGAGGTTCCTGCCTAATATCTCGCTAAACTTAGAAAGCATGGACCTTGAGCTTGTTTGGAGGTTCTAGCAGGAGAGCGCAGCTATCATAAACCCAAGACCGAAGACTGGAGACCTCGGTACACTCCTTCTATACCTGGGACGTCGTCCTCTTCCACCAAGCGCGCAGCTTCGGGAGGGACGCACATGGAGCGGTGAGGGAGGAAGGGGACACCCGCCTAGCCAGCCAGATCAGCCGAATCAACCCTGGCGATCAATGGGGTGACAGATGTTGCAGCCAGATCGCCCTCACATCCTCACAAGCAGGGACGGACATTTGCAGCTCTCCAGATGCTGTTGGATTGCAACTCTCCAAGATTATTGCTGACTTGAGTCAATGGCAATGGAGTTATAATTCAACAACTGGTAGGGCCACAAGTTTCGATATTTGCTAAGAATGAAATATCCAGAAGTATATTCTGAGAATTTCTGAACTTGCCTCTCTCATCCCACTGACACCCTCAACAAACCAGGACAATCATGAATGCACATTGGGGGAGGGGGGCGACAACATACACTATCCTATGTGTATGGTCCTGAAACATTTTTATGACAGGACTTGCCTCCAGTCACAAGTATAAAAATGGAAGCAGCTTCAACCATGAAGATGCAAATCCAACAGCCTACCACTACAATGGCTTGTTGAATAAAATACCTAAAAGAAAAAAGGGATCTACTTACTGTTACGGACATCCAGGAAGGACACTAAGACAGTCAGGAGGCCAGCCACAGCCACCTGACTCATGAGCTGCCGATCACTATGGTAAGGACAGAGGGTAAGCGTCCCTTTCCCAAGATGCGTCAGGCCCTGCAAAGCAAAAAAGGTAATATACAGTTGAAGTAGAGTCTGTGCCTGATGTTAGACAGTTAGTCTCTGCCTTCAAAGCTAAAGCAGAGTCAGGCAAGGCCCCATTTGGCAGGAATAATGGCTAAACTTGCAAACCTCCTGCCACACTTGACACTAATTCACTCCCAACCAACAGTACAAACTGAGAAAAATAGAAAGGAAGAAGGGCCTGTAACCTGCAGGCTAAATGAAAACAGGTTGCATTACTTTAGCTTAATGGTCTGTGAATGATCCAAGCCGAAGAAAGTTCACACACAAGTCAAGGTAACAGGACATGTACCATTTGGCACATCCATCTCCATCCATTAGTCCCCTTTCAAACCAGTCCCTCAACTCAATACTTATGGGAGCCACGGTGGAGCAATGGGTTAATCCCTTGTACCAGCTGAACTGATTTGTGTGTGTGTGTGTCAGGAGCGACTTGAGAAACTGCAAGTCGCTTCTGGTGTGAGAGAATTGGCCATCTGCAAGGATGTTGCCCAGGGGACGCCCGGATGTTTTGATATTTTATCATCCTTGTGGGAGGCTTCTCTCATGTCCCCACATGTGGAGCTGAAGCTGATAAGGGGAGCTCATCCGTGCTCTCCCCGGATTTGAACCTGCGACCTGTCCTGCTGGCACAGGGGTTTAACCCACTGCACCACCGGGGTTCCAGCTGAACTGTTGACCTGAAGGTCAGCTGTTTGAATCTGCAAGATGGGATGAGCTCCCATCTATTAGCTCCAGCTTCCCATGTGGTGACATGAGAGACGCCTCCCACAGGATGGTAACACATCTGGGCATCCCCTGAGCAATGTCCTTGCAGACGACCAATTCTCTTACACCAGAAACAACAGTTCCTGAGGCTGCTTCTGACAAGAAAAAAAGTATTTTTGTGTTTTGCTCTTGGTTTTATACACCAGAGGGTTTGCTGCAGGATTTATCTCAGCTACAGAGATAGTGTTTTATATTATTGAACATACTGTATATCAAGCATCCTCAAACTGCGGCCCTCCAGCTGTTTGCGCCTCCAACTCCCAGAAGTCCTAACGAGCTTGTTCAATTGTTAGGAATTCTGGGAATTGAAGGCTCAAACAGCTGGAGGGCCACAATTAGAAGATCCTTGCTGTACACCATCCAAAGAACTTTGGTAATAAAGTAAGCAATAAAGAAAGGCAATGTAAAACAGTTTTACACCTCTTCTGATATCTGTATCACCATCTTCTTTTTCCATCACCAAGTCAGTTTTCTTTGCTGGGAATTTCATCTAGTGCTGTGTTTCTGATGTCCCTCTCTGTCCACTTCCCTTGTTCCACCATATCCAGAATTCCGTGTACTGCTCAATTCCACATTAATCTTATGAGCGGGCACTACTCACAGAAGCTAGAAAGATGTGGCTGATGATTTCCAGTGACCAGATCAAGGTCTAAAGTTAAAATCTTTTCTCTTTCCCATGACTAGCAAAACAACTTTGTAGAATTATGCAAAGGAGAAGAAATATTATGAATTCGCCCTCTTTGCATAATTTATACAAACCCCATGTGGCTTAGAGGAAGAAGTTTGACTGCACAGTACAAGTATTTTCAATTAATTTATAATGATTTTGCTATCTGAACTTTTCAGTCACTTGCCTGGATTGCCATCTTTGCTTCCTCCCTCCCGCACAGGCAAGGGTTGACATTTTCACAGGAGTTACTATGACTCAGATTTCCTTGCTGAGTCATTAAGAGATAATTCAGAGCCCAACAGTGTACATGAGCAGTGAAAATGGATCCCACGGCACCCATCTTTTTGTTTCCACAATCTGTCACTCTATTTTCATTAAAAGCACGCAAAAAGACAGCTATTTGATGCACCCTTTTCCCTAGTGTACTATTAAAGAGATGTAGAACATTAACAGCAACCTTTCGAAGTGGGTTCCCTCCAGTTATGTTGGGACAAAAATCTAGGAATTATAGTCCAATACATCTGAGGACCAGCAGTTTAAATTAAGCCAATCCAAAAAGACCCAGACGCATGGTTCTATCTAAAACATCAAGTATTTCAGCTAAAAATCCATGTAATATAGCCCCATAAAGTCTGAAGTGTATACCTTAAACCATATATGTTTTTCCAGCCAGTCAATTTCCCATGCTCTGCTTTGAATTGAAAAACTCAAATTTTCAGTATCATCAATAAACCCGCCTCAACTCCAAGGCCTATCTTCAAACTTTTGACAATGGAGCAACTATTTTTGAAAATCCAAGTCCAAAGAGCCGATCCCATCACCCTCTGCCTTCTGACAACAACAACAACAACAACAACAACAACAACAACAACAACAACAACAACAACAACAACCTTTATTTATATCCCACCACCATCTTGCAAAAAATACTCAGAGTGGCTTACAAGACACTGCAGTACAGTATATAACATAAAGAATATATAAGTACAAAACAATATCACATAAAAATTATAAAACAACCACTATCAACACATAAAAAATAAAATAACACAACTTAAAACGCAAAACCATCAGTAATTAAAACTAGCTGACATCAATTCAACTCAAGTGCCAGAGTGTCAACCTCATATGGACCTACCCTGAATTAATTCTTAGATCTCAAACTATTTTCAAAAACACAACTTTGAACACCAAGGCAGTAGAAAAGGCAGTTGAAAAAGAGAAAGGCCACACTGCAGGTAGGTTGATTCAATAAAGGAAGCCATAGCCCAAATCTGTCAAACCTGAATGGGCTTTTTAGATTTAGGGCCCCCTTAGAGTATGTCTGCACTGGAAAATTAAGGCAGATTGAGACTATTTTAACAGCATTGCCTCAGTGCCCATGGAATCCAGGGAAATGCAAGTTTGGTGAGGCAGCAACACTTTGGCAGAAAAGGCTAAAGACCTTGTAAAACTACAACTTGCAGAATTCCATTGAACTGAGTCATGGCAAACAAAGCAGTGTCAAAATGCATTAATTCTCTAGTGATAAGTCATAAATCAAAGTCAACTTGACAATAATTAACAATACAAACAGAGACACGTTTTCCCTCAATTGTGACTATTACTTTATGGCGGTTAGCACAAACTGTTATTGCCTGTATTGATTATGCATTTCATAACTACTATTGTGAGATTTTTTATTGTGGCTACTGATTATCTTGGCCATGTGCTGTTGTTCTCACTGTTCCTTTCAGCCTAATTTACAGAAATGAAAGAGAGCCTGGCGGTGTGTTAATGTTTCCCCAGTTACTCCATAAGAAAGCAGGCAAAAAAAGCATTCATTTCTCTCATTGCTGAGATAAAGCTATATCCCTCCTCCAGCGCCTCTGCTGGTTTCTTGCCTCTCTTCAGTATCCCGCAGTAACCACTGTGTCAAGATGAACAGCGTCTGTACAGCCTCTCACTGTTAAATTTATAGCTTTTCCTCCTGAGAAAGAAGAACTTCAATAGTGGATACCTTTTGATTTCATTTGCCATCTGAACTTAATCACCAGCACAACAGCCAAGACAAACTCTACTAGCCAGAAGGGAAATCCACAGCATTTTGCGTAAGTGCCATCAGCTGAGTGGCTCCTGCGTCACTTTTCCAATTCTACAATTCTTTAAACAGCATTGTCATATCCCTCTTTCTATTTCATTACCCAGCTCTCCCTTCCTACATCTTCCTTCCAATGAAATCCTTCTATACCTAAACCAAAAGTCCATGCCAAAGTATCAGGAATTGCATTTTACACATATTGATGTTTTTAGACTTGTAAGAAAATAGCCAAGACAAATGCTGGAAATGCAAACAGTAAACAGGATCTTTTTTCCATTCTTGGTGGTCCTGCCCAAAAGCCAAAGAATTTTGGAATATAGTACATAATGACATACAAAAGATTCTTAATATACAAATAAAAAGGGAACCAGAGTTCTTCTTGCTTGGAATGCTTGACTTTGAAGGAGAGAAAAATAAGGATACAATTTTCAATTATTTAACCACCACAGCCCGAATTGTATATGCGAAGAACTGGAGACAGAAAGAAATACCTCAAAGAGAAGATTGGCAAAATAAAATACTGTAAATAATGAACATGGATGAAGTAACTTATTGGCTCTCGCCAAACGAAGGAATTCCAAAGAAACACACAAACTGGGACTTGGTAAAAAGTTACTTCAAACAACGAAAAATAGAGATCATTTCTTGAAAGACAAAACAGAAGCTAAAGAAGAACCAAAACAGGGAAGCAATTCTTAACACCATTGCTGGAAAAATTTACAAAAGATCTTCAAAGAATATATGGAAGTCATACTACATTTTAAAAAAAAAACAAAAACATATTTTTTCTTTTTTTTCCTCTTGCTTTTTTCCTTCCCGCCCCTCTTTTTTATTAGAGGGGTCCTGTACACCGTTGGGACAAGCTCTTTAAATCTTTCTCCATACTCCGGTATTTCTTTTGTTCTACTTTATTTCCTACTTTTCTATCTCCTCCACAATATTCCCCTACTTTCCATGTAACTATATACCTTTTTGTATTGTCGAAGGCTTTCATGGCCGGGATCACTGGGTTGTTGTACGTTTTTCCGGGCTATATGGCCATGTTCTGGAGGCAATTTTTCTCCTGACGTTTCGCCTGCATCTATGGCAAGCATCCTCAGAGGTAGTGAGGTCACTACCTCTGAGGATGCTTGCCATAGATGCAGGCGAAACGTCAGGAGAAAAATTGCCTCCAGAACATGGCCATATAGCCCAGAAAAACGTACAACAATCCTATATACCTTTTTAATAAAAATTAATTTGAAAAAAAAAAAAAAAGAAAATAGCCAAGACAATGTCTCTGGAAAACTCACAAGCAGAACATGCACTCATCTCCTGAACAACTACTCTTCCTCAGTAACTGGTGATTCAGATACATTAAAACAGCTCCCTGTTAAAACAGCTCCACTGACTGCTGATAAGTTTCCGGACTCAATTCAAAGTGCAGGTCATCACCTATACAGTCCTGTCCTCTTCAGATCCAGCCTATCTTCGAGATTGAATCTCTTTCTATGAATCGGCATGGGCTTTGAGATCTGCCAGGGAGGCCCTTTTCTCAGTCCCACCTCTGTCTCAAGCGTGGTTGGTGGGGATGAGAGAGAGGGCCTTCTCAGTGGTGTCCCTCCAGCTTTGGAATTCCCTCCCCAGGGAGATTAGATTAGCCCCCACTCTCCAAGAGTTTTGAACCAATTTGAAGGCTTGACTCTCCAAACAGGCCTTTGATCTTGTTTAGGAATCCTTACTGATTATACTTGAGAACTAGTGTTTATCTCGCCTCGCACTTTATGGACTGATACTGATTGCAATTTGTTTATATCTGCAGCAGCTGTTGCCTTTTATTGATTTTTAACTAGTGGGATTTTATGATTTTATGTGGTTTGTTACTGTTATTGTGATACTGGTCACGCACTTATTGTATTTTATGTGTTTGCACATTGAGTGCTTTTGTGAGCCGCCCCAAGTCCCTCCGGGGAGATGGTGGCAGGGCAGAAGTTAAGTTTATTATTAAGTTTATTTATTATTAAGCTTTTGATTCTGGAGGGTTGCATACAGCCATTGTGCCTACTGGCTTTATTCTCTATGCATTTACATAATCCTTCTCCACACCATCTATATTAGTGGTCATCATTACAACTATCCATCTATAAAGTACTAGGTAAAGAAAGTTTTGAGTCCACTGAGCTAATTTAGACTTAAGAGAGAACATCATCATCATCATCATCATCATCAACAACAACAACAACAACATTTCTTACCTGCCTCTCCTCGAGGTGGGTTACAGAACAATTAAAGTAGAAGTAGATGCATCTATATGTCAAACAACTCTGAATTTCACAATCGTACCTATATACACACATACATTTCTGAACTTTTCGGCCGAAGCTGAGATGAACTATTACCTGAGCCAACCGCACCATGAAGAGGTTATTTGGATCCTTGGCATGATACTGCGCCAGCTGTCTCAGCATTGCTGCCAGACGAGCATTATTGGTGCCTGCAGAGCAAGGAAAGATGGAATCAGGAGGCAAGCTAAGCAAAAAAGCTGAAGTGCCATGTCAGTTTTTATTGAAGAGGGAGCTGCTATTTCAGGAAAAAGATGGGGGGGGGGGGTGGTCATCCAACAAAATACACATAAAAAACCCCTGTGAAATGCTGCCTTTCAGCTCAAATGCTGAAAGACCCAGAAGCTTCAGCAATGTTTCTGCATGGTTTTAAGTCATGTTAAAAAGGAAGAGAGCAAACATGGAGGTGATAGTGCTAATGAGTATTGCAGGCCATGTACTTCGAGCTTGCTTCTGTTGCATACATTTTCCATCCCAAATGTCAAAGATTCAGTTCCCAACTCCTGTCTGTAAGACTAAGAAAGACCCTTTCTACACTGTCATATAGTGCAGTTTGAAACTGTATTATATGATAGTGTAAATGGGGCAAAGACTCTCGTCTAAAACCCCAAAATGCTGCTGCCAGGCAATACTGGGTTAAACAAGCCAATGTTTTTTCACTCACAATATATCTGTGCTATGAAACAACTGATTGGTCTTGAGATGTAGGAAGGTCTTTACTTTTAAATTACTGTGGCCAAAAAAATCTTTTTAATGGGATCTATTTATTTATTATTTATTTATTTACAGTATTTGTATACCACTTTTCTCACCCCGAGGGGGACTCAAAGCGGTTTACACATAAGTAATGGCAAAAATTCAATGCCAGTACAAGCAATTACAATTATACACTACAATTAGACATAAATTAAATTAAAAATACATCAATGAGCAATAAAACAATCATTAAAACAATAAAACAGTAGTATGTTTTTAGCTTTTTACTATGTTCTATTGCATTAAATTTTTGTTATTCAATAGTTTAATAGGTAATTTATTTTTTAAAAAAAACCTTTTGTATCATATTTTATTTTTTAAAATAATTAGAGTTCCTTTAAATCTTGTGCTGGGAGAAGACTGTGATATAAATAAAATAAAATCAAAGTGATAAGGAGCTGTGCTACTCCTCTAGAAGATCTTGAAGGATCCAGGAACAAAGCTTGCTCAGCACTGCTTTCTACAACCGATCTCAAAACTTTCCACTCACCATTGAACTATTTGACATGAGATATCATGCTTTTACAAAACCCCTACTTTTCTTCTGTATCCACTGAATCATTTAATCCCCTAATCTGACATTTGAGACACCAAAACCATGTGTTATGGGTCTCTGAGCATCAGTTAAGTTAAACAATAAGGATTCCCTATTCACCCACAACACCATGCCCTCGATGTTGCCCAAAATCCCAGATGGATGCTTACCACTGCCCACCATGCCCATGGCAAAGATGGAGTTGTAGGACACCTCTGGGTCAGCATCGTGGGAAAACTTGCTGAGGGTGTCAAGGATGTTGAGGCGGGGGTTGGAGACGGAGATGAGAGCCAGAGCTAAGGGCACAGCTCGGCGGAGGGTTGGCTCTCCATACCGCAACTGCAGGAAGAGAAGAACGTTAGACTCCAAAGAGGTGCACTGAGACTGCCTCTGCAAAACACTGCATACTTTGTGAGCCAGCTAGAACATTAAGATCTGCCAGGGAGGTTCTCCTCTCAGTCCTGTCGCCTTCGCAGGTGCGATAGGCGGGGAAGGGAGACAGGGCCTTCTCGGTAGTGGCCCCTCAGCTGTGGAACTCCCTCCCTACTCAGAGCAAATTGGCTCCCTCCCTCCTAGCATTCAGGAAACAATATAAGACCTGGTTGTTCAAGAAGGCATTCAGTAAATGACAGGAATATTGAAATATGGATATAGTTAAGATAACCTCGAGATCAATACAAGACTTAAATGTTAAATGTTTACATTGTGTTTATGATAGCTATTTACAGTTTTAATGGTTTTAATCTATAGTTATATGTGGTTAGTTTGATATGTGATTTTTTTATATGTGTTAGGCAATCCAAACTATTTGAATATAAATCCTGAGACATGAATGCAGTAACGGGGAGGAGGAAGAAAAATCAAAGCTCTGCTCATCTAGCCCTGTGCTCTCTCTTGCATACGAACATTCTAGTTTGGAAGGCTTTCAAAGTTCCACATGACTTGATACAGGTCACAGTATTACTAAAGACAGAGTCCACTGTATGCACTTCATTTCTAGGCCACTAGTAACCTCTAAGTACTGACTTGCCCTGGGCAAATGAGACAAGGCTCTTTCTAATTTCTCCTCTCCTTACAACACACACCAAGAACAGACAAAGCAGACAGTATTTGGGGAGGCACATGTGCCCTAAAAAGGTTTCTCTAGTAATCCTAGATTTCTTCCTTCTGAAGATATTTGTAAGATGAACTCATTTTTGAGGATGGAAAAACTGTTATTTGGATTCTTTAACCACTAACAAGTTCAGAATGTGAGGGCAGGGCCTACCAGGCATATTCTGTTTACCATTCCAGATGCTGATGGAAGACCATCTGTTATACACACCATTTCCAGCTGCCAAACATTTGCCCAAAAAAGGCAGGCTCCCCATGACACTGTCATACTCACCAAGTGACCAAAGGTACGTAGTGCCATCTCAGCCCCAATTTCTTCTCCCATTGCAATGAGCGCAATCCCCAGGACTGCTACTCCCTGAAGCAGAAGAGAGACGGGTTAAGAGCACAGAAATCCTTGAGACAGGATAAATACGGATTCTCCCAAAATGCCAAGGGAGGCACTCTACTCAGGAACAACCAACAACAAAGTAGGTCTATATTTTGTTTTCCTAGTGGTGTACCACCCTAGTCAATACTAAGCTATCTGGCCATTCAGTTCCATTTCTTTATACTATCACTGCATTGTGCAAACACAGGAGATTGTTGGCAGCAATGCAGTATCCTGAGAATCCTAGTCATTAAAGAGAGTTGCAAAATTTAAGCTCTGAGGAATAGTGCTCTGCAAACATATATATCTCAACTTTCAGCTCAGAACTCCAAATAGGAATCAACACAGGGTTGTTGTAGATTTTTTCGGGCTATATGGCCATGTTCTAGAGGCATTCTCTCCTGACGTTTCGGCTGCATCTATGGCAAGCATCCTCAGAGATTGTGAGGTCTCACAACCTGAAGATGCTTGCCATAGATGCAGGCAAAGCATAAGGAGAGAATGCCTCTAGAACATGGCCATATAGCCCGAAAAAACCTACAACAACCCAGTGATTCCAGCCATGAAAGCCTTCGACAATACAGGAATCAACACAATTGGTTTGAAAACAGAGTATGTGCACCATGACTGGAGCCCAAGCCCCTGATATCAGTGATATATTAGCCTTGGTACTTGAAACTTCATTGAGCACTGTTCCCACAAGTCTAAAGGATAAGAAACTTAACTAAACTGAGTGCCTCATATAAGGCACAAACCTTATTTTAAATTGGGACTTGTCTAAGTGCGGCCTCCAGGAGCTTTTGAATTGTGATTTTTATAGGTCAATAATGGGGGATGTTGGGTGTTGCAATTCAGAAAAATATAGAAGGCCACAAAGGTCACATTCCTGCTTGAAACTCATCGCCATCATTCAATAACATTCAACAGAACTCTCAGGTAAATGGAGAAACCCCTCCTTGGCTTAGCAGTCTTCAATAAACTCTTATAGAGCAACCTTATGGGCACGAGGACCATATGAAAACCCTGTACAAAAAGCATTTCCTCTACACTGTCTTCTCTCAGTTGATACTGGAGCAATGGACACCAAGGGTTCCTTGCATGCCTCTATGTTCCTGCATTTGTCAGAGTCCAGTTCCTGCAGCCTTAGTTGGCAAATAAAGAGGGATAATGAGATCAGAACTTCAATATTTGGTCGGAGGCATTACTAATCCATCCCATTCCTTGGATGCTTTCTTCACACCATTGTTTTTGGTTGTTTTACACAGGAAAATACAAAAAGTGAGGCACAATGCACTAGTCTGATCCAGCGCTCAACTCCATCAGTCTCACTTAGGAAGACAGGAAGCCAGCCAACAGACTAATAGACTACATGGCTCAGTCTTACCTATTCTGAGCAGCAGTACCTTTCCAATAAGTGATGGTTTTCCTATAACTTATTTTCTGCAATACTCCACTCAAGATACCCCCTAGGGGTGAGAAAAGCGGTATAGAAATACTGTAAATAATAAATAATACCATAGGATGGACCTGGGACACTCTCTGCTTCCCCCTTGCCACAGGCAAGAGAGATGAAAAGAGTGAAAAACCCTCACCTGCCCACACACCTGGAGCCTACGCCTTACCTGATGAGCCCCCATGTCGGCAGGGTTCTCTTTCTTTTCTTTATCTTTCTTCTCCTTCTTCTCTTTCTCCTCCTCCTTTTCTTTGGAATCAAAATGTTCGCTGCAAATGTGGAGAAGCTGCTGCACCTTCAGCACATTGCCAGACCCTGGAGGAAGAAGTTAGAGGACGCTGTGTAAAAATGGGAGGGGACCTCTATCACAGCCTGACAAACACAAACAAAGTTCATCCCAGACTGACCTGCATAGGCACAGATATCCACGAGTGTGTTGGCAAAGCTGCGGAAGGGCTCTGACACAACCTGTAGGGCAGCCAGGATCGCTTCAATGGCCTCCCCTTTCCCTGTAAGAAATAGGGATGCTCTGTCACAGGAGTGGCACAAGACACGACAGGTTAGTGATTTGGGACCTTAAGGTTCAGAATGGGAAAAGGTCGACTCAATTCTTGCTTAAGACACTTGACCAAAATCAGATCATAAGAGAACTTATAATTTTTTGTGCAGACAGCATCATCTATTATTATACTCAATCAGTGGGTTTCTGAGAGCTGTAGTCCAAAAATAAATTTCCCAAGCTTTGACAAAAACAAAGAAAGTCTTGTTTCAACTAAAAGATGTATCAAGATATATTCCAACTGACTCAGAGAAGTGTTCCATGAAATAGATACAATAAATGTGTTAACCTTTTAAGGACCCACAAGAATTTCTCTTTTTTTTTTTTTTTTTTTGCTGCAATAAATATACAGATGGACATACAAACACAGCTATCTCACTGTGTATCAAAGGCAGAAACCTCAGGTAGACCAGAGCCCAATGTGGGTATCCCATCAAGGGAAGTAACAGACACTGTCCACCAAATTCAGTATCTGAACTTTTGCAACTCTCATAAGAAGCCCCTTCCACACAGCTAAATAAAATCCACAATATCTAATTTGAACTGGGATAATTGGCAGTGTGGACTCAGATAACCCAGTTCAAAGCAAATACTGTGGGTTATTCTGCCTTGATATTCTGGGTTATGTAATAATAAATAATAATAACACTTTATTTGTACCCCGCTACCATCTCCCCAAGGGACTCGGTGCGGCTTACATGAGGTCGATCCCAAATACAACAATACATGCAATAAACAACAATACAAGCAATTAAAATAAAACATGGACAATAAAATAATAAGACCACACGATTAAAACTATGGGAAGGCCAAATGTAAAATTAAAATTAAAAGTAATTCTGGAACATGAGCTAAAAAGTGATGGGGCATTTGTGGAAAACAAACAAGCAGACCTAAAATATATATGGCTGTTTGGAAGGGCCCTGAAACTACTACAAATGAAACACAGTTAAGTCTCAATGTCTTGTCTTTTCGTTGTGTTGAAAGGACTTTTGTTTGTAATTCATTAATTCATTTCTCCAAATTGTTCAAATTACAAAAACCTTTTTAAATTTGTGAATCACTCTGATTCAGACATCTGCTCACAGGTGAGGAAGAAATTTTTCTGCCATCAACTTCTCCACTTGGAATGCTGCCTGAGGTAGGGGACACCGTTGGCTATCCGTGGAACAGAGAAGCCAAAACCACTTTTGCAGGAGGGCAAAATTGCTCATGGTTTTGGATCTTGCCCCCCCCCCCCCCAAAAAATTAATACTGAGGTAGGGAGGAAAAAAATAGAAATGCTTGAGAAAGAAAGAAAAAAATAAAATAGCAAATTGAGGCTAGAAAGCAGTAAAGGTATAATTACTGAGGCATAGATTGAGGTTGAATAATAAACCTCAGACACTCCTAATTTAACTTCTCCACCCAGTTGCAGTCAGGAATGTGTTGCTACCCTAGAAAGTCTCGCCTGTCCTTAAATGGCCAGCAGAGGCAGCTCTAACAACACTTTCTCTGTGATAAAAGAGGAGCACCTTATGATTATTTACCATTTACCCTATTTATACTTTGCTTTTCTCTACCCCGAAGGGGGTTCAAGGCAGCTTACATATAGGCAATTATTCAATGCCTTAGAGCACATACAATTCCAATAAACATTAAAATTAAATCAATACATATAAAACATTTAAAAACATTACATTCAATATTAAAACCAAGCCATCCACAATCCTCTTTCACAAATTGCATTTCCTGGTACTAACAATGCAAGAGTGGCAATGTGCCTAAGCCCAACAATGCAAGGGCAATGTATTGTCGAAGGCTTTCACAGCCAGAATCACTGGGTTGTTGTAGGGTTTTTTGGGCTATATGGCCATGGTCTAGAGGAATTCTCTCCTGACATTTCGCCTGACATTCCTGAGGATGCTTGTCATAGATGCAGGCGAAATGTCAGGAGAAAATGCCTCTAGAACATGGCCATATAGCCTGAAAAAACCTACAACAACCCAATGGAGGACACCTCCCTGACCAAGGAAGCACCCAAGGGCACTGTAAGAATGATCGATCATTTCGCTTTGAAAGGCCATGAAAGGGGAGCTATGATGCTCCAGAAGCCCCATTTCCAGACTCAGGGGCAGAGGGAGAAATGAAAGCCAAAAGGAAACACAAGGAAGATACTCATCTGCCTTGCATGCAGAAAAGAAATTAGGGATATTACCTTTAAAAGCCTCTCATTGGGAGCTGGCTATAGAGCAAAGTTTGGAAATGTAACTTGCCAGGACTACAGCTCTCACAGTTGTCGTAACCTTTCCACGCTCCGTTCTGGACCCTCCTTCTCCACCACACAAGGGCCCACTTTACAGCCACTGAAAAGCAGTAGGTTGTGTGCTTACCAAGATGGTTCAAGCCTAGCCCAAGAGGTAGCCATCGGGCATACGTGTCCTTCAGTTCTGTCTCTGACTTCTCCATGATGGTTTGGAGAATGGTGGAGGTGACGTCTCCATTGCAGGAGCCCACAGCAATCATTCCACAGGCCAAGGCGGTCACGCCAGCTACCTGGGGAGAAAGTTCACATCACAACGCCACCCCCACAACTGGAGACATCTTGCACACAAGGATCACCCAGGTACTTGCAAGGAAAGGGCACTTCTGAAGAGCCAGGATATGCCTGCTCTGCAGCACCTGCTCACCCACAAAGCACTAAAGGAAAGCGCCTCCTGGCAACTTGACTTTTTTCTCAAGGCATCCCTTTATATTGTTCCAGGGCCCTTCAATCAGGGGATTTAGTTTTCCCTGTTCTCAGCAAGCTTTATAGCAGAATGAGAGTGGAACCAGGAAATTTTAGAGACCCCCCAGTTCCCTGCTAAAATAATAATAATAATAATAATAATAATAATCCCTCTATGGGAGTATTATTATTATTATTATTATTATTATTATTATTATTATTATATGGGTGCAGTGCCTAAAGACCTTGGCCTGCACTTAAACACAATAGGAGCCAACAAAATTACCATCTGGCAGCTGCAGAAAGCCACCTTACTGGGATTTGCACGCATTATTCGCCAATACATCACACAGTCCTAGACACTTGGGAATTGTCCGACGTGTGATCCAATTCAACAGCCAGCAGAGTGTCTGCTGTGGACTCATCTTGTTGTGTTTCAAATAATACTAATACTAATAATAATAACAACATCACAAGTACCACCTGCCAGTAGTAAAAGAACTGGTGGGATCATAAACCTGCAAAGGTAGTAGAAAATGAACACACAAAAATACTGTGGGACTTTCGAATCCAGACTGACAAAGTTTGGAACACAATACGCCAGACATCATGATCGTGGAAAAGAAAAAAAGTTGGATTATCAATGTTGCCATACCGGGTGATAGTCGCATCGAGGAAAAAAAACAGGAAAAACTCAGCTGTTATCAAGACCTCAAAATCAAACTGCAAAGGCTCTGGCATAAACCAGGACAGGTGGTCCCAGTGGCCAAAAGATCTCTGCCACATTTGGAAACAATAAACATTGACAAAATCACGATCTGTCAACTGCAAAAGGCCATTTTACTTGGATCTGCGCGCATCATTTGAAAATACATCACACAGTCCCAGACACTTGGGAAGTATTCGACTTGTGATTTTGTGATATGAAATCCAGCATATATATCTTGTTTGCTGTGACATACTGTGTTTTTGTGTCAGAATAATAATAATAATTATCATCATCATCATTTTTTCAGCCCAAAAAAATTGTAAATCTTACCCCAAGGGTACAGTTGGTCTTTTGGGGCCAGAAGCCTGAGGTTACAGGTTTCTTTCGGGTTGTTTGTTTTTTAATCAAGTCTCCCTGTGGCAGTGCAGAGCTTGTCAAAAATGGCCAACGGCAGCGGCCTAAGTCCCAGGGGGTTGACTCCAGGACATTGCCTACTTCTGGTTAATAGCCTTCAAGCTCTCCTTAAGTAGCCATTGCAGACAAGATTTCACATGGCCAGGAACACTGCTGAATTTCATACAAGAATGTTCTTGTTCAGATACAGACTGGATGCCTAAGTACTATCTATCTACAGACAGTCCCCAAATTACAAACAAGATAGGTTCTGTAGATTTGTTCTTACGTTGAATTTGTATATACTGTATATACTCGAGTATAAGCCTAGTTTTTCAGCCCCTTTTTTAGGCTGAAAAAGCTGCCCTCGGCTTATACTTGAGTCAAAGTTATTTATTATTTTACTCTGTTATTACTATTATTTTTATTACATTTATTATTTTGCTCTATTATTGGTATTATTACATTTACATAATTTTACTCTATTATTATTTTATTACATTTATTTTACTCTATTTATTACATTTATTATTTTACTTTATTATTATTGTGATTACATTTATTATTTTACTCTATTATTGGTATTATTGCATTTACATTATTTTACTCTATTTGCTTTTATTATTATTATTACATTTATTATTTTACTTTATTATTGTTGTTATTACATTTATTATTTTACTTTCTTTATTATTATTGGAAGGATACGTAAGCACATTTACACCCAAAAAGGTTAGAATAAGGGTTTAATCAAAGTTGGTCAGTCTTATTTTAAATTACAGTTTTATGTAAACATTGAAAAACATTTAACTTACTGTTTCCTCAATTAATGTAATTTTATTGGTATCTATATTTATTTTGTATTATCAGTTGCTGCTGCATTTCCCACCCTCGACTTATACTCGTCAATAAGTTTTCCCATGTTTGATGGTAAAATTAGGTGCCTTGGTTTATATTCGGGCCGGCTTATACTCGAGTATATACGGCAAGTCAGAAAAGGTACATTTTAAAGTGTAACTCCAGCCTATCTATCTATCTATCTATCTATCTATCTATCTATCTATCTATCTATCTGCACACATACAGTTTTGGGAAGGGTTAACATCCCTGATAATGACAGTGACACAGCCCCCTCACCTCCATGCTGGACTTAGAATCACCCATCACAGGAAGCAGCAAGGTGAGGACATCTTCTCGATTGGACCCAGCATACGCCAGCCCCAGCCTGCAAGAGAGCACCACGTCATCTATGTGGTCCACAGAATATTGTGCAGAAGGGAAGGAAAATCTGGGCAGTGCTTACCCAAAGATAGCCCCAATCCTCATGGTGTTGCTGTTGTGCAGGACGTAGTCTGAGAGCAGCGCAAGGGCAGGGTCACACTCATTCCTCACTCCAGAATTCACAATGCCACAAGCCAGAAGAGCCCCTGACTATAGGATATATATATATATAAATGAGGAGTCATCATCCATTAAAAAAGAGGTTGGGACAATCAGTACTCAGAACAGTAAGCATCCCATACTGAAGTGCAAAAAAGGGAAGGGTTTATACCACTGGGGACCTACACCTAGAATGCATCTGTGGGAGAAAAGAAGAGGAGACGAAAGAGGAGGCAGACAACCTTAATTCAAGTATCTGAACTTCAAGTTAACAAACTAAGAAAGGGTGACACAATCACATGACTCATTGAACATAAGGAATTGCAACCCACGAGCATGGAATCCGGCCCCACTTAGGAATGGCAAATATACTAACCTAATAATATATGGTTGGGCTTTATATTAGAATGCTTCAGGAATGTCCAGACAGCATGGGCCAGAGCAAAGAGAGGGGAGGCCAGGGGACAGTTCCACTTTGTCTCCTGTGCTATTCTAATAATATAATGCAATATACTATATAATATATTGTATATACATATAATATTTATACTATTAGAATGTAATGCAATATAATAATAATAATAATAATAATAATAATAATAATAACAAAACAACATATTATAATTATATATTTATATTACATGTAGTATTACTATATATTTTTTTGTCATGTCAGGAGCAACTCAAGATACTGCAAGTCGCTTCTGGTGTGAGAGAATTGGCTGTCTGCAAGGACGTTGCCCAGGGAACGGCCAGATGATTTGATGTTTTTATCATCCTTGTGGGAGGCTTCTCTCATGTCCCTGCATGAGGAGCTGGAGCTGATAGAAGGAGCTCATCCGCCTCTCCCCAGATTCGAACCTGCGACCTCTCGGTCTTCAGTCCTGCTGGCACAGGGGTTTAACCCACTGCACCACCGGGGGCTCTAGTATTACTAATAATACTACAGTATAATTGATATAGTACATTATTGCAATATTTAAAACTGATATTGTCCTATGCTAATAATAAAGTGTATGTATATATACCTTGTAAATTGCTCACCCACAGGGTGAGAAGAGTGGCATATAAATGTCGCAAATAAATAAATAAATAAATTTTACAAATTTCAGTGACAGAGAGCATACTTTATACATGGAAATTCCCATGTTTAGCCCTTGCCATCTCTAGAAAGGAGTGGGGACAATTCTTGTTTAGGCCCTGGAAAATTGCTAGAAAACAGCCAATAACCTAAGTCAGAGGTATCAAACTTGTGGTCCTTCAGATGTTTGTTCCTCCAACTCCCAGAAGCCCCAGCTAGCTTGTCCAATGGCCAGGAATTCTGGGAGCTGAAGTCCAAAACACCTGGTGGGCCACAATTCTGACTGCAAGAATAAGTTACTTTCTTTGGGGATGGACCAACCTGTGCAAGCAGGCCAGGAAAACAGGGTGGAAACGTTCCTTTTCTGGATGACTAGCTCTACTGCCTAAGGAATTTTAGAAGCTGTAGTGCAAAAGGAACTTTTCCCAGTTTTGAGCAAGAGGGGGATTCACCCACCTTGATGTAGTCTTCTGAGGAATACAGGTATTTGTCAATCTGTGTAAGCCCTCCATCCACATCCCACAACAGAATCATCCCAAGCGAGGCTGCAGCACTCAGCATTCCTGCAGAACAGATGTAAAAGCATCTTGAAATGGGACCAGATGCAGGATCAGTACATCTTAAAAAATACTGGTGGATAGCACTCTGCAGCCATGCCGCTGTTATATTTATAACTCAAAACCACCCAGCCTTATTATATTACACAAATATATGCTAAATTATTATTTGCTCCACAGTAAGACTTTTAAAAAAATTATGCCTCAGTCCAAGATTAGGTTGGATGTTTTTTGTCTGTGGTGCAATACCCACTGTCAGTGGAGGGATGGGGTACCAAGGGTCACACTTGTGTTGCATGCTATCTCTACAGAGAGTGAGCAAATTTAGCACATCTGGGACAATTAATATTCACAAGAGGGCCACTGAAATATGGGAGCAACTCCATTTTAATGCAAAGATTGTATTTGCAATTTGCCACTAAAATCTGGTAGCAGTGACTTTATGGCAATCAGGGGTACCATCAGCAAGCAAGAGTCCAAAAGTGGCAGGCTAAAACCCAAAACCTCAATCCATGGCTAATAGCAAATGAGAGACTCCCTCTTGGGCACACAGAAAACTGAGTGACTTGGAAGGTGTTGAACAGATTGTGCTCTGGCACCATGAGATGCAGAGCCAACCTTAAGAAATTGGGCCACAAAGTGGAGTCCATGACATGCGAATGTGGAAAAGTCCAAACCACAGATTACCTATTACAATGCAGTCTGAGCCCTGCCACGTACACAATGGAGGACCTTCTTATAGCAACACCAGAGGCACTCTAAGTGGTCAGCTTTTGGCCAAAGGACATTTAATATAATGCCAAGATTTTTAAACTTTGTGGGGGTTTTTTGTTTGTTTTTCAAATACAACTGTACCCTTTGTTCACTCCAGATACAATAAATAAAAGGGGTCCATCATATATAGCTCTGAAGTGACCACATGCAACCCACAAGTTAAAAAATCCCATTCTGATCTATATAGGAGTTCCAAGGAACTTGCCTTCCTGTTAAAGGCAACAACATCACTTCCAGTTTATAAGAGCATCTCTGATTGCTGACTGGCATTGAGAAAGCAGCAACTGTGGGTCCAGCTTATCCTGAAGGTTTAGTTCTGAGACCCACCCTAGACATAATAATAATAATAATAATAATAATAATAATAATAATACTTTATTTATACCCCGCTACCACCTCCCCAAGGGACTCGGTGCGACTTACATGAGGCCAAGCTCACAGTACATCAATAAACAAAAGCAATAACAAAACAATCAATACAATACAATTGATATAAATCACATAACCATAAACCATAAACAGTTACATACAAGCATTTAAAAAACCTATGGCCGGGCCAAATGTAATAGATTAAAATTTTAAAAAAAATTACGCTGGGCATGAACAGGGTTTTTGAAGAGAGATGAGGGAATGCAGTCAATCCCTTAAGTGCATTGATTAAGTGATAAAGTGCATTTTGAGGGAATATTGCAAAGAATTTCCTTATTCTGGGAAGGCACACTGGAACAACCATGTTTTCAGGCTCCTCCTAAAGACTGCCAGAGTTGGGGCATGTCTGATGTCCTTGGGAAGTGAGTTCCAGAGTCGGGGGAGGGGCCACCACCGAGAAGGCCCTCTCCCTCGTCCCCACCAATTGCGCCTGCGAGGGGGGCAGGAGCGCGAGCAGGGCCTCTCCAGATGATCGAAGAGATCGTGTGGGTTCATACACAGAAATGCGGTCACGCAGGTAGGCGGGTCCCAAACCGTGTTCAGGGCTTTGTAAGTAAGCAACCTGCACCTTGAATAGGGACCGGAAATGAACGGCAACCAGTGGAGCTCCTTAAACAGGAGGGTTGACTGCTCCCTATAAGAAGTACCGGTTAGTAACCTGGCTGCCGCCCATTGTACCAATTGAAATTTCCGGGCCGTTTTCAAGGGCAGCCCCACATAGAGTGCATTACAGTAATCCAATCTGGAGGTGACTAAGGCATGGACCACCCTGGCCAGATCCGACTTCATGAGGTACAGTCGCAGCTGGCGCACGAGTCTTAATTGTGCGAAAGCCCTCCCGGCCACCGCCGACGCCTGAGCTTCAAGCGTGAGTGATGAGTCCAGGAGGACACCCAGACTGCGGACCTTTGACTTTAGAAATACAATCACACCCTATATTATTAAAGGGCCGTGGCATGACCATGCCTCCCTTAATGTGTCTGCAGTCACATTGTCAGCATTTACTAATACAGGGCCTGATGATTCATGGTCACTGGATATTGTAGATGTAGGAGGTGCAGGTGTCTAGGGAAACTCTGTCAATAGCTCAGACCTTTAAATGGTTTTGAATGGATTTGAAACTTGGAAGCATTGATGGCAGAGGGCATCCCAAGTGACTAAGGGCTACTACAAAGGAAAAAATGGCATTTTTTTGCTACAGCTGGGGAAAAAAAAACAACTTGGGGCCCTCTGACTTGAGCTACTTGTGATACCGCAGGTCTCCAACCTTTTCTAGACCATGAGAACATTTTTGAATGTTGAGAATATCCCAGGAGCACCCTTACAAAATGGCTGCCATGTGGGGCATCGTGACTCACAAAATGGCTGCCACAAGGGGCATTTGGCAAGTCAGAAACTTGATCTGAAGTTCCGTCCAGGCATCAAGAGGCAAAAATAATCAATAAAGAAACACACACACACAAACTATTATTGTATGCAGAGAAACCCTGGAATGTATATACTGAGTTTCGGGAGGGAAAGAGTTCTCACCATGGTCCTTGTTCTTGTACAACCATTTGTTGCCATCGTCTGTTAGCAGCTTGTCCTGCCCAAAGGCAGCATTCACGAAACCATTCACAAAGGAGGAGGCCAAGTTCATGCGGGCAGAATCCACCTGGGAGCCACTGCCACCAAACCCTGAGAAGGAAGGCAGAAAAAGCAAGGTGAGTGCATCTTACTTACTTACGTACTTACTTAGGCAATCCCTTGTTGTCCGACTAGGATAGTCTTCCAGGATCAGTGTGCTGGTGGGTCTGTAGGTGACTGTGGAGCCCTATTCTTGATCTACATCTTCTCCCACAGTGAGGGCATTGGTTTCCAGGAGGAAGGCGGTCTCGGTCAGGGTTGGCTTGACGCAACTTCCTCTTGGCACATTTCTCTCTTTTGCCCTTCATTCCTGCCTCTTCAAATTCTACAGCACTGCTGGTCACAGCTGACCTCCAGCTGGAGCGCTCAAGGGCCAGGGCTTCCCAGTTCTCAGTGTCTATGCCAGAGTTTTTAAGGTTGGCTTTGAGCCCATCTTTAAATCTCTTTTCCTGTTCTCCAACATTCTGTTTTCTGTTCTTGAGTTCAGAATAGAGCAATTGCTTTGGGAGACAGTGGTCAGGCATCCAGACAACGTGGCCGGTCCAGCGGAGTTGATGGCGGAGGACCATTGCTTCAATGCTGGTGGTCTTTGCTTCTTCCCGCACGCTGACATTTGTCCGCTTACCTTCCCAAGAGATTTGCAGGATTTTTCAGAGGCAGCGCTGATGGAATCGTTCCAGGAGTTGCATGTGACGTCTCTAAACTGTCCACATCTCGCAGGCATAAAGCAGGGTTGGGAGGACAATAGCTTTATAAACAAGCACCTTGGTCTCCCTACGGATGTCCCGGTCCTCAAACATTCTATGCTTCATTCGGAAAAAAGCTGCACTCGTGCAGCTCAGGCAGTGTTGTATTTCAGTATCAATGTTGACTTTTGTGGAGAGGTGGCTGCCAAGGGAGCAGAAATGGTCAACGTTTTCCAATGTTACACCATTAAGCTGTATTTCTGGCATTGGAGTGGGATTGGCTGGTGACTGCTGGGCTTGGGTGGTGAGTGCATCACTGCTGATGCAAAGGGGAAGGACACTCAGGACTCACACTGAGACTACCAGAACATTTTTTTTCGTGTCAGGAGTGACTTGAGAAACTGTAAGTCGCTTCTGGTGTGAGACAGTTGGCCATCTGCAAAGGCGTTGCCCAGGGGAAGCCTGCATGTTTTACTATCCTGTGGGAGGCTTCTCTCATGTCCCTGCATGAAAAGCTGGAGCTGACAGACAGGAGCTCACCCTGCTCCCAAGATTCAAACTGCTTATTTTTCAGTCAGCAATCCTGCCGGCACAAGAAAAGTGTTTATACTGCAGCCAGAGTCTGCAGCCATTAAAACTGAACAGTTTTCTATATGAAGTCCTACTAGTTTATTAACACAAGCAGGAAATCTTTGACAGTAGCTAATAATATAGTATAACCCCCACGCATTATCCCAAATTTCACATGGATACATCAATCCATAGATAATAGTGAACCCCATTATTTTCAATGGCACAGAGGTTCTGTGAAGTGGGTGTCACTTGTACAGGAGGCTTCAACTGAATAAGGGAAGCCATTGATAAGTGGAAGTGATTCTGGATTCAATTCATTATGTTCAATACTGCATTAAACACCCTGGTCTCACATTATCAAAGATAAATTATGTAGTGATGTAACTGCTTATTTAAATCCTTCTCCCATCTTACAGCAAGAGAAGCTTCCAAACTGAGATTGGCCAGAGGGGTGAGTGGAGACTCAAAAGCAGTTTCCAGTGCAGAATGAGTGACCTTTTTGGGCAAGGAACTTTCTAGAACTCACATAAAAAGGTAAAGGTTTCCCCTGATATTAAGTCTAGTTGTGACCGACTTTAGAGGGTGGTGTTCATCTTCATTTCTAAGCCGAAGAGCTGGTGTTATCCACAGACACCTTCAAGGTCATGTGGCCTTGTGGAGTGCCATTTACTCTACTGCTGAGGTGATAACTATTGCTCTACTCACATTTCCATGTTTTCAAACTGCTAAGTTGGCAGAAGCTGGAGCTAACAATGGGAGCTTACTCTGCTCCCCAGATTCAAACCGCCGACCTTTCTGTCAGCAAGTTCAGCAACTCAACAGTTTAATCTGCTATGCCACTGGGGACTCCCAGAACTCACATAGGCATACAGAAAAACAGCTCACTAAAGATGGACCATTTTGTATGATGAAGCATCAAAGGAGAGTACTGAGAATCAGCATTTATGTCCACCACAAGTTTTGATTTGAGTATAACCCAGAATGGAGACAGTCACCCAAAACCAGCATACACAGACCTCAAACTCCACTGCTTGAGAACTTACGATTGTTTTCTAGATGTGTTTTGTAAATATCATCTGGCACCTTGGGCTCCATGATGTCCAACTGAAAGAAAAAGAAGATATTAATGTATCTTGTCCGGTAGATGAGAATTATTATACCAAGGATTTCCAGGCATACAAGGTACTAGTTTTGGTTGAGAGAACAAATACATATCTAGCTCAGGGGCATGTAAAGTGCAAGCCTTCAGATGGTGTTGGACTTCCAAGTGCCCCCAGCACTAGTCAAGTGGTAAGCTTGGGACAATGCCAATGCATCCTAATGAATAATAATAATAATAATAATAATAATAATAATAATAATAATAACAATAACAATACTTTATTTATATCCCACCACCATCTCCCCAAGGGGACTTGGAGCGGCTTGCATGAGGCCAAGCCCAACAAAATACATTAGTAAAAAACAACAAAGCAAGCAAGCAAGCAAATTAAACACAATACAATATCATAAATAACATAACATAAGCAATAACACACAATAGATTTAAAACACTGTGGGCAGGGCCGGATGTAGAAGATTAAAAATTTAAAATACTGGGTGTGAACAGAAGAAGGGGGGGTTTAAAGGATAATGTAGGGAAATCAATTCAGCGGGTAGATAAAGTGCTTCAGAGGACATACTGCAGAAAATTGGTCAGATCAGGGCATTGTTTCCATTATTCAGGGAAGGCACACTGGAACAGACACGTTTTCAAGCTCCTCCTCAAGTCTGCCAATGTGGGGGCTTGTCTGATATCCTTGGGGAGTGATGTCCAGAGATGGGGGGGCACCTTGTCCCCACCAATCGCACATGCGAAGGGGGCAGGAGCGAGAGTAGGACCTCTCCAGATGAACAAAGATATCGCGTGGGTTCGTACACAGAAATGTGGTCATGCAGGTAGGCGGGTCCCAAACCGTACAGGGCTTTGTAGTTAAGAACCTACATCTTGAATTGGGACCGGAAAAGGAACAGCAGCCAATGGAGCTCCTTAAACAGGCGGGTTGACCGCCCTCGGTAAGTCACTCCAGTTAGTAATCTGTCTGCCGCCTGTTGGACCCACTGAAATTTCCGAGCTGTCTTCAAAGGCAGCCCCACGTAGAGTGCATTGCAGTAGTCCAACCTGGAGGTGACTAAGGCATGGACCACTATGGCCAGATCCGACTTCATGAGGTACGGTCGCAGCCAACATCCAAAAACAATACCCCCATTTTTGAACATCCAAAAACAATACCCCATTAATCTCTAAGCCAGTTCTTTTCTATGAGTGAGTGATCAGATACCAAGACAGAACCGTGACCCTTTTAACACAAGTGCTTCAGATCAGCTCCCCGCACTCCCGAAAAATGCATACAAGAGAATTCCTATTTATTTCCCAAGGTGTCAAGAGGCCAAACCAGGAATTTTATTGCAAAACTGAACTCTCTGCACGCCACTGCTAGATTTGGGTTTCTTCCTCCTGGTCATAATAACAATATTCACTACAAATCCAGAGTACAGGGCCTGCAAAAGGACCAAAGAGATGAGGGAGGCTATAATATTGAAAACACCAGAAACTCTGACAATGACCAATTCACCTTCATGTCCTACCCAACACTGTTGTCTCATGATTTTTTAAGGGAATGGTTCAAGGAAGATTGGATGATGGAGACTGTTGAACTGCCTAAGGGAAAAGTGGAAAAACCTCAACGTCAAAATAAAGTATATTCACCTCTCTGGCCAAAGCCAGAAAGTTGCTATTGAGCTGTACGTTGGACATGATTTCTGTGAGATCTTCATATTCCTCAACGTCCTCACTCAGCTCCAGAAAGACTCCGTGGCGACCCAGCATGAAGGCCATTTGCTTCTGAACAACCCTGTAAAAATCCAAACAAGAATCAGAGTGTGAGATTAATAATTAAGTTGCATTGCTGTTTGTGTAGGGCAGGATTAATAGGGTTATGTGAGGTTGTAGTGGTTGGGATGATTGTTTTAAATCATGTTTGTTAGTTGCTCTAAGTGTATTTTTTATTCTTGCGGAAGTATTGTCTTTTTGTTTTGTGTATATGTCTGTGTTTTTTTTTTTTTACTATTTAGAGTTGGAAGAGACTTTGTGGGCCATCCAGTCCAACCCTATACTTCCAAGAAGCAGGAAAATCACATTCAAAGCATCCCCAACAGATGGCCATCCAGCCTGTGTTTAAGAGCCTCCAAAGAAGGAGCCTCCACCACACTCCGGGGCAGAAAGAGAGTTCCACTGCTGAACAGCTCTCATAGTTAGGAAGTTCTTTCTAATGTTCAGGTGGAATCTTCTTTCCTGTAGGTTGAAGCTATTGTTCTGTATCCTAGTGTCCAGAGCAGAAGAAAACAAGCTTGTTCCCTCCTCTCTATGACTTTCCCTCACGTCTTGATACAAGGCCCTTATCATGTCTCCTCTCAGCCTTCTCTTCTGCAGGCTAAACATGCCCAGCTCTTTAAGCCACTCCTCATAGGGCTTATTCTCCAGACCCTTGATCATTTTATTGCACTGCCCAGAATGGGACACAGTGTGATTCCAGGTGTGAATAGAGGGGGAGCATAACTTCCCAGGATCTAGACACTATAATCCTATTGATGTAGGCCAAAATCCCATTGGCTTTTTTAGCTGCCGCATCTCATTCCAGGCTCATGTTCATCTTTCTGTCCATGAGGACTCCTAGATCTTTTTCACACATACTATCAAGCAAGACATCCCACATTCTGTATCTCTGCATTTTATTTTATCTGCCTAAGAGGAGTATTGCAACTTGATTGTAGGTTTTTTCTTTGAACAAAAATTGTTTTTTTTAATAAACAAACAAGAATTAGAACAAGGCAGATGCATTAGTTAACTTAATTCAAAGTTAATATCAAGGACCAGTTAAATGAATGGGATATGTGGATATGTAAATTACAACTACATCCTACTAATCCTAGTGGGTCCATTCCAAGCAGAACTAACATTAGCTAGACCCCAGTACCAGAAAGTGGACATGTAATATTTCACAGCCTGAAGTAACAAGGCTTACAGGCAACTAATGTTTTCCTAACTGGAATGCTTTCCTCAAGACTTCAAAAATCCTGCAGGCCAGAAGAAGAGTAAGCTTTTGGCCACTAAAAGGCATTTAGAACTGTTTCTGAGCAGACTTTTAACTCTAGAAGACTCCCAACAGCAGATACTGGGCTCAGTTTTTTAAATTCTCCCACCTCCCTCTAGTTTGACCCAAAGAAAGGTCATTCAGTGAGCTTTGTGGCTCAGCAGAAGTGTGAACCTGGGCCTCTTTAGTCTGGAAAAATTACACTGTTTAGCTGGTAATGCACCACCTGAAATCCACTGGGAAGTAGCAGCCAGCAATGAAAGGAACAAGGCATTGACATCTCCAGCCCATCCTCTGTTCAGATATCAGCCAGCATGCCAATGCCTTAAATCAAGAAACAGCTTCCTAAGATCTACAGCAGGAGTCTTCAAACTACAGCCCGGGGGCCGGATACGGCCCTCCTAGGTCATTTAACCGCCCCTCGCTCAGGGTCAACCTAAGTCTGAAATGACTTGAGAGCACATAACAACAACAACAACAACAACAATCCTATCTCATCAGCCAAAAGCAGGACAACACTTCCTATTAAAATACTAGTAAGTTTATATTTGTTAAAGTTGTTCTTCATTTTAATTGTTGTATTGCTTTTAAGTGTTTTTTGCACTACAAATAAGATATGTGCAGTGTGCATAGGAATTCATTCATGTTTTTTTTTTTCAAATTATAATCCAGCCCTCGAACAGTTTGAGAGACTGTGACCTGGCCCTCTGCTTAAAAAGTCTGACGACCCCTGATCTACAGAGATACTCGCAGGAACACCTCATCAAGCAAGATTCTAAAAGTGGCAGGCTAAAACCCGGAACCTCAATCAGTGGCTGAGACTAAATGAGAAACTCCCTCCTAGTCACAGAGAAGAGTGGATGACCTGGAAGGTGCTGAGCATGCTGCACTCTGGCACCACAAGATGCAGAGTTAACTTTAAGAAATGGGGCCACAAAGTGGAGTCCACGYCATGCGAGTRCGGAGAAGAGCAAACCACAGACCACTTACTACAATGCGGTCTGAGCCCTGCCACATGCACAATGGAGGACCTTCTCACAGCGACACCAGAGGCACTCTAAGTGGCCAACTTCTGGCTAAAGGGCATTGAGCATACTGCCAAGTTCTTTTTAACTTTGTTTGTGTTTTTAAATGCATTTTAACTGTATRCTCAACTCGCTTCTGACACAATAAATAAATAAGTCTTGAGCTCTCTTAACTTTTTTTTTCTTTTTCTATTTCTATTAAACAATTTYTCCTGTCTCTGCTCACACACTTTGAGATGTGGAACAACACCAAACAAATATGAAGTGTGGGCAGTGATCAAGTTAAGACCAGCAGACAGGTCTTAAGAGGATTCCTCTCYCTGGCAGATGAAGTGAATTAAAAATACAAAAAACCCCTTCACTACATCTTTCTAATCACTGAAAACTTCTCTTYTCCAGTTGCATGTCCCCACCCATCCATAATTCTGTGTTCAGGACTTTCTACAGTACAGTAAACAAGACTGATACATACACATCTTTGCAGGAGATGAAGATGTTCTCAGCCAATTCCATGTCATTCAGCATAAGAGCTAGGCGTAGAGCTTCTGGGTAGCGGTTGAACTTGCGGAAGATGCTGAGAGCACAGCGGAGGAGGGCTGAATTCTCAGGTTCAGGAACATAGCTGACACAGCTTCAGGGAAAGAGGAAGAAAGATGGAAGAAAATGAAGGTCAATAGCTACCAAAGCTGAGGGTATCCAGTGGTGGTAACTTAGCGTGTGACAAGAAAGGAGGCAAGCATATGTACAAGTTCATATACAAAAAATACTGCAGATCAAATTTGACTTAAAACCTGAATACTATCTATTAAATTTAATGGAAATTGATTTAGGGAAAAATAACGACAAGCTATTATATTACATGACGACGGCCACAAGAACAATCCTGGCAAGCAGATGGAAAGACAAAGAGCCCCCGACCTTTGAAACATGGATCGCTAAAATAAGGGAGTTTATGGACATGGACTCCCTGGCGAATATGCTGTATGACCAAAATAGAAAGAATAAGACTGATTGGCAACCACCGAGAATATATCTTAAGGAAAAGAAAATAACACAGATGGAGTAAAAGAAAAAAAAGGAGGAAATAGAAGGAAGGTGATTACAAAACAAAAAAATATAAAGAAACACTTTTTTAAATTTACCCCTGCGAATTGATAAATACATCACCACCCTATCCCACTGAATATTTGTACTTCCCCCTCAACTCCACTCTTTTCCTCTTTTTCTTTTCCTTCTTTTCCCCCCTTTTCTCTTCTACTACTTTTCACAATTGTTAAAAGGAAAAAAAACTCACAATAAAGATTATTTAACAAAAGAAAGAAAAAAGGAGGCAAGCACTACACTGGGTTGTGAGAGTTTTTCAAGCTGTATTTATTTTATTTTTTATCAATTTACCCTATTTATATTCCGCCTTTCTCTACCCCGAAGGGGACTCAAGGTGGCTTACATATAGGCAATAATTCAATGCCTTAAAACACATACAATTCCTGTAACATTAAAATTAAATTTAAATTAATACAGATTAAGCATTTAAACGTTTAAAAATATGACATTCTATAATCACACTAGTCATTCTTGTAGTCTAAAGACATTTCGTAGTTATTGTGCATATTCCAAATCTGTTATTGCACTGCTCTATTATTCGAAAGCATAATCCCAAAGCCAGGTATTTATTTTCCTTCACTCTTTTTTATTTTTTTACTTCAGCTACCAAAATCCCAGTCAGTTTACCAGTTGTTAGGAATTGAGGGAGCTGAAGTCCAAAACATCCGAAGGAGCACAGTTAGAGAAGCACTGCCTTAAGCTTTCTAAGATTTTTTAAAAAAGAATAACTGAACAATGCTCTCTAATATCTGGTATAAGAAACTCTCCATAAGAAAACACTTTGAATTATATGATTTGCTGTTTTAAAAAATTAACACAGTCATTCGTCCACATTCACTGGGGTGAAAAGCTCTGGATGATTGTGAGAAAAAAGCAAAAAAAAACAACAATAACAATAACAAAACAAAACAACCCCCCCCCAAAAAAAAACCCAGCTTCCAGAATAAATTGGTCATAGTTACGCTAGAGGAACTAGAGATAACGTTATAATCAAATCCACAAAACTTAAACCCACAAATGTGGAGGACTGACAATAGAACAAACTGTTATCCACCTCCCCAAATGAAGTTATTCCAAGTGCTATTTGTTGTGTTTTGTACATCTGAAAGCAGTCAGAAGAAACTGGTTCTGGATTCTCTTATTTTCAGCCCAAGCCCATGGGTGCAGTGGGTTAAACTCTTGTGCCAGCAGGACTGAAGACCGACAGGTCGCAGGTTCGAATCCGGGGAGAGGCGGATGATCTCCCTCTATCAGCTCCAGCTCCTCATGCGGGGACATGAGAGAAGCCCCCCACAAGGATGATAAAAACATCAAATCATCTGGGCGTCCCCTGGGCAACGTCCTTGCAGACGGCAAATTCTCTCACACCAGAAGCGATTTGCAGTTTCTCAAGTCACTCCTGACACTACAAAAAAAAGCCCAAGGCCATGCCCTGCTCTCAAAAGCTATTCAGTTCTTACACACAGACACACAATCTGTCTTATCATAACTGACCCACCTAGTCAGGTAGAGGCAGACTTTCGCATAGGCATTGTCATCAATATATTCCTCCAGCATGTCCATCTGTTCAATCTCCATGAGCAAATCACAGGCTTCATGTTCGGCATTGTGGGCCATGTTGTACGGCACGATCTCCTTTACAAGGGTTAGCAGTGTGTCCTTCTGGGTCTTGTCAGCCTCGTCAATTTCCTGCCACTCCTTGGCAACTTCACCAGCTAGATGCCTGTGGAGACAGAGAAAGAAAGGTGCATTGAAAAAGAAGGAAGACTTCAAAGAATCAGAGAATGAAAGTGCTAGAAGGGATCCTGAGTATAATTAAATCCAACCTGCTAGATGGTTCTCATCTCAAGAACCCTCAGCAGAAGGCCATCAAACAACGTTTTGCTTATTATTTTACTGGACAGAATTATAACCTGATAGCTCGATTGCACCTCAACTAAAATATAACAAAAATATAATAACCAATGATAGAATAACAGTAATAAACTTGGGAGCGCTATGCATGCTGCCTTGACTTCCTCAGAGAAACATATAATTGAAGTTACTTTTTTTTAAAAAAGCAATGTAAAAGAAATGCACTCCAGAGTTTTAGCTGCTCTTGCCTCTTCATTCCCTACTTACCTAACATATTCATGGCCCCATGAGGCCAAGGGCTCCTGGGATCCCACCAGCCGGTATTTCAGACACTCCCGCTCTCCACTCATCGTCATGGCCAGAACAGAGATTATGTCAGCTGAAAATCGCTGCAAGCAGAAAAGGAATGGTTAGAGATGCACACCTCATATGAAACTATTGCAAATGAAAGACAGCTTGAGTAGTGTCTTTCACATATCTGAATGCAAGTGCGAAGCCACACAGTGTTCTGGTATGTAGCATTGCACTCTCCTAACCATTCAGAATTAGCACTCCTTTACGATGAAAAGGGAAAGACATGGCTTGTTCATCAAGATAGGTTATCTCTTTCCACGGAACCAAGATAAAAATGCCCTGCACTAAACAAACAACCAAGCACTCTATTGGTTCCTAGCTTTGCAATCCACATCAGGTATGTATTTTAGGGATGCAAATAGAATTTGAATGTATTCTACTGTTTATTTTAAAAGTTTCAATGTTTAATCCTATTTTAATGGTTGTATGTTTTTAGGTTCTAATTTATATACTGTACTGTTTTCAGAGCTAGACATTTTGGGTCTCTTTTTAGAGATATAAAGCAAGACAGAGATAATTAATCTATAAAAATAAAAATGTAATGTTCGTTTGTGGGATTAACATAACTCAAAAACCACTGGACGAATTGCCGCAAAATTTGGCCACAAGGCACCTACTAACCCAAGGAGTGACCATCACTCAAAAAAATTGATTTTGCCATTTGGGAGGTGTAGTTGTTGGGATTTATAGTTCACCTACAATCAAAGAGCATTCTGAACTCCACCAATGATGGAATTGAACCAAATGTGGCACACAGGACTCCCTTGACCAACATAAAATACTGGAAGGGTTTGGTGGGCATTGATCTTGAGTTTGGGAGTTGTAGTTCACCTACACCCAGAGAGCACTGTGGACTCAAACAATGATGGATCTGGACCAAACTTGGCACGTATATTCCATATGCCCAAATATGAACAAAGATGAAGTTTAGGGGAAATAGACCTTGACAATTGGGAGTTGTCGTTACTGGGATTTATAGTTCACCTACAATCAAAGAGCATTCTGAACCCATGAATGACAGAATCAGGGCAAACTTCCCACACAGAATCCCCATGACCAACAGAAAATACTTAAAGCCATCCAGTCCAACTCCCTTCATCAGGGCAAGAAAAAGTAATCAAAGCCTTCCTGACAAAGAGCCATCCAGCCATATATATGAATGATTCACACACCGAGAAATATAGTATCATAGATTTGAAAGGGACCCCTAAAGGACAATTATATATTGCATGTTCCAGAGTAGGCAAACCAGACACTCTCCACATCAACACTGACAAACAAACAAGAAGTACGGTTTACCCACAAGCATAAAGAAATTACATATATTAATAACTTACACTTTCTCATTACTTTATTTTCCAGATCACCAAACTGGGCCACAGCAAAGCGTGGCAGGCGATGGCTAGCAGCAATAATAATAATAATAATAATAATAATAATAATAATAATAGAAGAATTCCCATTTCTCTGATCAGTAGAATTTGACCCACTTGCAACCTATATTTCCTCCAGTGCACCTAAGATAGATGACAACCAGACCAAGAAAACAACACCTATTGCTTTCTGTGGCTAGATCAGAATACATACCTTATTTTCCCCTGCAGCCATGTTTTCGTAGATCTCTTTCAATTTGCCATAATGTGGTCGTAGAAACTTCAGGGGCTTGGGCACAGAGGTCATGGAAGTTGTGGAAGAGCGAATCTGCCTGCGCAGCTCCTCCAGGGCAGGCCGATAGAGAGAGGTATCCTGCTCCTGCAAGCACATTAGCTGCCGTCAGGGGAAACAACTCCTGCTTTCAAATCCCCCACCAACTACAGCAAAGTTACTCTATAGCGTGTTAGGTAATGCACACCTCTGCGATTAGAAACCTGGGCTTAGAGAGTGTCAAAAAAAGAATTTCTTGTTGACCTGATTGTACATTGTACATCATGAACCTACCCAAACACACCTACCCAAACACTTATGACTACAAGACATCCTTTTCCTGTTATCAGCACAGCCACAACATTCCATATGCACCCAGATATTTAATAATAATAATAATAATAATAATAATAATAATAATCTTTATTTATACTCGGCCACCATCTCCCCAAGGGGGACTCAAGGCAGCTTACATGAGGCCAAACCCAGAAGTGCATTACAATACAGTAACATGAAAGGCATAAAGCAAACATCAGAATAAAATTTAAGAATCTGCACATTCATGTCTGTTCTACGAAGGCAGAGAAGCATTTTAGAATTGTGAAACCTGTGACCCTCTACGCATGGGGAAACTATCACTACCATGATCTTCCATTCTATCTTGGCTACAACAGACAAAGGGTGTTAATGGAAACTACAACAACATGTGGAGGGCACAATCTCACCCATCCCAGATCTATAGCTTCATCCTTGGAAAAACTATAGAAAACATCATACTCTGCTGATAAGATGTCTATAGACTCCTGGTGGAACTTGAAACTTACCCCCAAGCGCTCCACAAGCATTTCCAACTCATCCTGTAGTTGCTTATCTTCTTCGGACTATATGGAATGAAGAGAAGAGAGATGAAAATGCAAGCTGCTAGAAAATTTAATTACCCAAAAAGCCACATTTCTCCAGCTTCATCTCTTCACTGTTCTGAATTGCAGCAGCAGTAAAATATTAAGAGTTATAGAGAACCAAGAGATCGTATTATCGAAGGCTTTCATGGCCGGAATCACTGGGTTGTTGTAGGTTTTTTCGGGCTCTATGGCCATGTTCTAGAGGCATTCTAGAGGAGAGAATACCTCTAGAACATGGCCATATAGCCTGAAAAAACCTACAACAACCCAACCAAGAAATCACTTTCTTCAGAAAAACAAGTATTAACTGGAAATCATGCACATCTCTTTACTGAGCCAAAGAGGATAGCAGTAGATTTTCAATGTCAAAATGCACCAGACATCCATAGCAAATTCAAATACATCCAGTAAATGAATCAAGACAAGAACACAGAGGAAATCTAGTTTAAGAGTTACAGTGACTTTTTAATTTCATTTGCAAACTTGACACTTTTTGCTCTTGAAGCGTCTTCCAATTTTATGATTTTGTGAAAGCTTTACTCAAAATGTCAGAATCAAAATCCAGACACACTTTGCACCTTTGTAGTTGTCTCCTACTGTCCTAAATACTTAGGCTCGTGGGTAGATAGGTGTTATTTCAGAGGAAATTTAAACAAGGCCCTCATTTCACAAACACTTCTGTATCTATTCAGGAAGCAGAGATCGGAGACGTACTTTTCACAGAGGATTGCACTGAAAATTCTATGTATTTTTAAGTGATCTGTGCTGATTTTCAGATGGAGAGGATTCCATCTAAGGCAGACAAAGCACCAGTTCTCATTCTTTACCCATCCCTTTTTTCCACAAAAAGGAAGCAATGCTAGAACAATTTTCACTTTACTCCTATGATGAACAACCAAGAAATTAGCAGACATTGGCCTGCAACAAATTGGGAGCCTAAATGAATTAATAGAAATTTCCTTAACTTATTAACTCAATGGGAGACTCAACCTGGGACTAATTTTTATTTATTTATTTATTTACAACATTTATATGCCGCCCTTCTCACCCTGAAGGGGACTCAGAGTGGCTTACAAGTAATATATAAATATAACATATTATTACCATAGCATAATATTAGTATATTAGTATTATATATTACTATATTGTACTATGTCATTATACTGTACTATTATACTGTAATATTATTAGTAAATGGAGCCCCCGGTGGCGCAGTGGGTTAAACCCCTGTGCCGGCAGGACTGAAGACTGACAGGTCGCAGGTTCGAATCCAGGGAGAGCGTGGATGATCTCCCTCTATCAGCTCCAGCTCCTCATGCGGGGACATGAGAGAAGCCACTCACAAGGATGGTAAAACATTTAAAAAAACCAACCATCCAGGAATCCCCTGGGCAACGTCCTTGCGGACGGCCAATTCTGTCACACCAGAAGCGACTTGCAGTTTCTCAAGTCGCTCCTGACACAACAAAAAAAGAAAAAAATATTAGTATCATATATTATTATATTGTACTATAACATTACACTGTAATATTATTAGTAATATTACATGTAATATAAAATATATAATTATAATATCATATTATTAGTAGTATTATATTGTATTTAGGGCATTGGAAATCATATTTAACTTCCCGTTATGTTCTTGCTCCCAGCAGTACGCTATGAAGCTACTCCTTGTCATCAAGGAGTAGCTTTTCAGCACCTTAGAGCTTTGCTGTTACTGTTTGCTGTTTGCTGTTACTGTTGTGTACCTTCACATCTTTGGTAACTTACGGTATCACTGGGTTATCCTGGCAAGACAGTGGGCCACCCCTATCCACAGACTCTATCTCAGGCATGGGCTAATTTGGGCCTTCCAGGGGTTTTGGACTCCAACTCCCACAATTCCTAACAGCCGGTAGGCTGTTAGGAATTGTGGGAGTTGGAGTCCAAAACCCCTGGAAGGCCCAAGTTAGCCCATGCCTGAGATAGAGTCTGCTTAAATTCTAAATACATCCGTGGAAGGGATATGGAGGGCTCACTGTGGTTTGACAGGGCCCCATTTCTGCATGGGGTGTGATTGACAGGTGAGGAACCCTGAGTTCCCCCAATCAAGGGGGGGCGTTGCCATGGCGACGGCGGCCCTCCCCCTGCGGCCTAGTAGTGACTCAGCTCGCCTGCCTGCCTCCCTCTCTTTCTCCCTCGGGCTCCTCACCAGCTCCTGCTCCTTGTCCGCCACGATCGCATTGGGGTCCTTCTTGTCCCGACTCCACGGCCCCGGCGTCTTCTCGTCTCCAGGCCCCGGCCCTGAACCGCTCGGCTGAGCCCGCCTCTGACTGCCGCCGTCCTCCATCGCTTCCTCTCAGAGAATGACACGGCTCTGATCTGCGCAGGCGCGAGATCGGAGGCGGGGCCTAATCGGACCAATCCACGAGGAGAGCACGCGAGAGACGTTCTACGCGCCAAAGGGGCGGGGCTTAAAGAGTCGTCGCCGTCCAATTAGAGAAAGGCCCGCCTCCGCCAGGCTACTGAACTCCAACTCCCAGAATTCCTTACAGTTGCCCTAGCTGGGAAAGACTTCTGGGAATTGGAGCCCCCTAACCTGGCAAAAGCAAAGAATGGGAAATTCTGCTTGAAAGCTTCTAAGAAAGGAAACTCCAGCGGACTCCGAGGCAGAGAGTTCCACTGTTGAACAGCTCGTACAGTCAGCAAGTTCTTTATGTTCAGATAGATCTCCCATTGAGTTATAAGAAGTTAAAGAAGTTCTCCTGACAGATGGCCACCCAGATTCTGCTTAAAAGCTTCTAAGGAAGGAAACTCCACCGGACTCCGAGGCAGAGAGTTCCACTGTTGAACAGCTCATACAGTCAGCAAGTTCTTTATGTTCCAGCTGTTAGGAATTGTGGAAGCTGAAGTCCAAAACACCTGGAGGGAGGGCCCAAGTTGGCCCATGCCTGATTTATAAGGCCTTTGACCATGCTGGCTCTTTATTATTTGTTATTATTTTATTTGGAATTTTGTTGAGTTCCAGGGTCAGAGAAGCAGATGTGTTTTTGCTCCATCAATGAGAGCACTACATGTGACAAAAATCTTGGGGTCAATGGGATTTTGGCCGGCATCAATAGGAGTCTAGTGTCTAGATCCAGGGAAGTCATCCTCCCCATGCTCTATTCTGCCTTGGTCAGACCACATCTGGAATCACCTTGTGTCCAGTTCTGGGCAACGCAATTGAAGAGAGATGTTTTTTGATTAATCATCTTTATTTCTACCATTTTCAAATTATAATGAAAGAGGGGGAACAATCAAATTGAAGAAAAAAAGAAAGAAAGAGAAAAAGAGAGAGAGGGTTGTAATTAGGGGTAGTTGGGGAGTGAGGTAGGTTGATCCGCAGAGAGATAGTCTGTCAAGTAGATTTTCCTCTTCAAGTTGTAGACAATTTTTGATTTGATTTGATTTTTTCTTATTATTATCTTATTATTAATTTTATTTTTCCTGTTTTTGTTTTGTTTTGTTTTTGTCGTGTCAGGAGCGACTTGAGAAACTGCAAGTTGCTTCTGGTGTGAGAGAATTGGCCGTCTGCAAGGACGTTGCCCAGGGGACGCCCGGATGATTTGATGTTTTTATCATAATTATGGGAGGCTTCTCTCATGCCCCCGTATGAGGAGCTGGAGCTGATAGAGGGAGCTCATCCATGCTCTCCCCGGATTCGAACCTCTGACTTGTCAATCTTCAGTTCTGCCAGCACAAGGGTTTAACCCATTTTGCCACTGGGGGCTTCAAAAGTGAGACAGCGCATTAATCAGAACAGTTAGAAATAGGTGGAAGTAATATGTGTGTTCTACAGAGTGTTTTTAAATTATTATGTGTTTTGGCAATGTCGTATAGAAACAAGAAAGTATGTATGTGTATTTTATAAGACTCTCAAGAAAGTAATATAAATCAAGATTATATGCTCTCTAATGGAGTAAATTGTCTGAGACTTTATAGTATTTAACAGGAATGTTATCAGCACATTATAAGTAAACGTAGATTATCTTGTCAACATAGAGAAATAAACAGTAGACTACAGAAAATAAAGTCCATCCTTTCCTGGAGTCGGATTTCAGTGGAGGAATTCAAAAGTCTCTGTCTTTATCCTCAAAAGAATTCTTCTTTTGGCAACACAGTCTTAAGGAATACTTCTTAGGCAACAGAGTCTTCCTTAGGTAACAAAATTTCTACAAGGTCTCCCGGTATGTTCTCCTTGTTTCGAATAATTATCTTCTTCAGGATGTAGTCTGTTATCACATTATACTTAATGCACTAAATACAAGACTAAAAATAACATACATAATAGATACATGAAACTCCCAAAATCACATAGCTAGAGAAACATTTTATAATAACAGTAAAGAAACACGCTACTCTACTTACACTCTCTTCAGTAGTACAGGCTCTGTTCTGGTGGAGTTCTATAACGAGCAATGAGTCATAACTAGGCTACCTCTTAAGTAGAACTACTTGGCAATGTCGTAATCTGCTTCGAGCCATGACGAAACACAGGGAAGAAATAAAATTATTATTATTATTATTATTATTATTATCATTATCATCATTATTTTACTGACACAAGAACACAGTATGTCACAGCAAACGAGATCTATATGCTGGATTTCGTATCACAAAATCACAAGTCGAACACTTCCCAAGCGTCTAGGACTTTCTGATGTATTTTCAAATGATGCGTGCAGATCCAAGTCAGGTGGCCTTTTGCAGTTGACAGATCATGATTTTGTCACCCCTGATGGGTGCCATCTTGTCATAATGAGGGGCTTAACTGCTCCAAGGATGCTGAGAGCTGTGCTGGTGGTAGTGTAACTCCCAGCACGTCCAACAAAGCCAGAGAGGTCTCAGCTGAGGAGTGGAACTAAGAGCACCTAACCCGTTAGCACTATGGAGAAGCAAACCAAAATGAAGTCTATACTGGCTTGGTCAAAGACCAGGATAAAAAGGACCACGGTGGATGCTGCTGATTCTGAACATCCATAGACAAGTGGGTTACAGAACCAAAATACAAATGAACAGGCACTGTTCGGCTGTGAGAGCCGTTCAGCAGTGGAACTCTCTGTCCTGGAGTGTGGTGGAGGCTTCTTCTTTGGAAGCTTTTAAATAGAGGCTGGATGGCCATCTGTCAGGAGTGATTTGAATGCAATATTCCTGCTTCTTGGCAGGGGGTTGGACTGGATGGCCCATGAGGTCTCTTCCAACTCTTTGATTCTATGATTCTAGAAGCAGCAGAAATATGCAATGCCAGAAAACCACATTATTATTATTATTATTATTATTATTATTATTATTATTATTATTATTATTTGAAGCACAAGATGAGTCCACAGCAGACACTCTGCTGGCTATTGAATTGGATTACAAGTTGGACAGTTCCTAAGTGTCTAGGACTGTGTGATGTATCGGCAAATAATGCATGCAGATCCCAGTAAGGTGGCCTTCTGCAACTGGCAGATGGTAATTTTGTCAGTGCCAATTGTGTTTAAGTCCATGCCAAGGTCTTTAGGCACTGCACCCAGTGTGCCGATCACCACTGGGACCACCTTGACTGGTTTGTGCCAGAGTCTTTGCAGTTCGATCTTTAAATCCTCATATCACGTCAGCTTTTCCTGTTGTTTCTCTGCAATCCTGCTGTCAGCTGGGATTGCGACTGTGCTGTCCCGCCTAGGGGCTCAATAAAGGAGGGATGGACATGGCATCTTTCCCCCAGGGGATTGCTTCTTGCCCACCTATAGGAAACTGGAACTCCCAAAAACCCAAAACGCTGTAAATAGCTCAAAATAAATTTTATTTATCACAACGTCATTTCTTCAAAGCTATGAGCTGGAAAACTTTAGAGGGGTGAAGAAAAACATACGTTACAGTCTCAATTAGTCCTGGGTCCAAGGGGTTTGAAGCTGAGAAGCTTCACCAAGTTTCCTCTTTCCTCAATGGCTGTGAATGCCGGAGCAAACCACAACCCCAGTTCAGATGGCCTATGTCTTGAAGATTCAGGATCTTCCTCTGGTGCGAAAAGAACTGGCTTGAAGGCGCCTGGGTCTCCTCAATAATTGCCCAGGACGATCTGGACATAAAGCATAAGTTCCAGGGGTAAAAAACCTCAGAACTGGTGCTAAGAGGTAACTTAAATCAGGGTCTTTTAGAATCAAGTCTCTTACTCACATCCATCTGGCAGGACCTCTGATGGCAGAATGAAAGGAAAAAGGAAGTTCTCCCCTCTTGCAGGAAGAGGTGGAGCCAAGCAGTACTGATTGACAGCTACAAGCAACCAATCCATACAACTATACATAAGCAGTGTAAAAGGGGGCAGGATTAAGCACGATACAACAGTTTAAGTCTTACAACTAACAGTTCTATACATAGGTGGCGCCACTCGCACCGTCACAGCGACATCGACGATCCATACTTTGTTATTTAACACGGTTGTGAGGTCAGGAGTGTTGTGCTCCAGAACTCTGTCTGTCTGAATTCGGAAGTCCCAGAGGAGTTTGGCGTGTTCATTCTCTGTAATTTTTTCCCGCTTGTGATCCCACCAGTTATTTGTTGCAGGCAGATGGTATTTGTTGCACAAGTTCTAATGAATCATCTGAGCAACAGTGTTGTGCCTTTGCTTGTAGTCTGTCTGCACGATCTTCTTGCAGCAACTGAGGATGTGATCTATTGTTTCATCTGCTTCCTTGCAGAGTCTACATTTGGGATCTGTTGTCGGATGATGATGGTAATGATGATGGTGATGGTGATTATTATTATTATTATTAACATGTATTGGAAGGTAACAGAATGGAGAAATCTGCTTTTCTCCTAGCAATGCCAGTGCTAACTGGGATGGGAAGCTTGGCTTCCTCGCTATGGCCACTGCCACTGAAAGAGTTTTATTCATCCAGTGCTCCAGCAGATGGTGCTCATCAAGCTTCATAACACAGACAGGGAAACAGCCCTCGGTTCCAATGCTACCTGATGTGGGATACTGGCATTTTTCCAACTTAGTGTAACAGAAATCAGTGCCATATTGTTATCCATTTACCACAACTGGAAACTTGAAGAGGCTCAGATGCGATGCCCCTTTTGTACGAAGGCAAACCTTGTGGAACCCCCTAGTCACGGTTTTTCAATAAGGAACTAGGAGGCAGAGAAAAAAAGACAGAGTTATTTGCAAATAAGCTGTGGATGACCGTCCTGAAAGGAAGACGGCACACTGACTGACATTTTGCATAGGTTTCTTATAGTTTTTGCAGGTACAGTTCACATTACAACGCTATCTTTGTTCTCACGCCCCTTCTCCCTTTCATCTTGGCACCATTTGGTCAGACGCTTATCAAAACAGTTCAG